CTTTCACTAGAAGTAGTTAAACCAAAATTGGATAGTGTTTGTAGCAATACCTTAATTTGGATTCTTACAGGAGGTTGGTGAATCTTTGATTTTTTGTTATATTAGACTTAAAAAATAGTTATGAAAAGATGACTCCTGCTCAAAAGTTTTGGAAACCATTTGCAGCGTGATACCCACAGATTTGGATTAAATTGGGATTGGGAATGAATAGTTTTACAGAAAGAAATTATGTGCATAAATATATAAACCTGTTTTGCATACTGTATACAGATTTTATGTATTATATGAGCCACCACCATTCTGATTGGATGTATTTTTCTTTTGGCCCTCTGTATTTTATATTTATACTCTGTTTGGTTACCCTTTGCATTGTTTAGCACTGTAACATGCCTTGTACCCTATTGCTTTCATCGTGTGGGGCATATGCCACTGTAAAGAAGTTATCAAATAATATGTAAGAATAAAATACAGCAACCTATTTCAATATAATATTTCATTTTCATGACAGCCATAGAAATGCCTTGGAAAACCTACAAGTGGATATGGAATACATTAGTACTCTTTGCTTAACAGTTGATATTCTGAATTTGAATGTGATTTAAATGTGATATAGCTACCATAATTGCTAGCCCTGACTGACTGATGAAATGATCCATGAAAACAGTATAAAATCTATTTCAGCAAAGACAAGTGTGGTATCTTTAATATGTCTGGTTATGTTCTTCAAGAAGGAAAAGGGAATACAGTGTGTGCTTGTCAGTGGATGTAGTTTATTCTGTAGTTGTTTTCTTCTGTAGTTGTTTTCTGCAGTCCAATTATCTGCAGTGTTTGAGGATTTGCATTTGCTGTCTGCATAGGATTTGGGAACTTAACAAGAATTTGAGATCTCACAAAAAAGCAGTTAAAATGTGTGTACCAGAAAACATGATATAGAGAAAGCCTTTGGCTACGCTGTCTACTTCAGCAGCCCCAATCTTTTGGGCACCAGGGACCAATTCCATGGGAAGAGGTTTTTCCGGGGGCCGGAGGGGGTCTGGTTTCGTGTGTTGCCTGCATCCTGAAGATGGGGCCTTGCTTGTTTGCCCAGCCCAGTTTCTGGCATGCCGTGGACTGGTCCAGTCTACAGACTGGAGGTTGGGGAGTCCTGTTCTATAGCATTTATTTTTTTCCATCTTATTCTACGTAGTATTGTACAGGCTACTTGACCCTGTAGGTGTGCCTTAAATTACAACTCTTAGTGACCCTAGCCAACTGTTCTGATACCTTGCAATGAGGATGTACAACAACACATTTATATTTTATTCTATTCTATTTCTATTTTATTTCTATTCTGTTGTTAAAGTGAATTGCCCTAAATTGCACAGAATGGATGAAAAACTTGGTACACTGATATATTTGAAGAAGAGGAGTGGGAGACTTTAATATGTAACCCAATGTTTAAATTTGATCTTAGAATCATTGTATTGGAAATGCTCATAAAGGTCACCTAATCCAACTCCCTACTCAATACATTACAATAGTGTTTCACCTTAGCAAGTTTAAGATGCTGATACTCTAGAAGTTGAAGTCTACACATTTTAAAATTGCAGAGGTTGAGAACAGTACTAGAACACCTATGACTATTAGCTTCTGTTTGAAGGAGTACACAGCCCGATATGCAGTGATGGGATTCAAATAATTTAACAACCGGTTCTCTGCCCTAATGATTTCTTCCAACCAGTTTGCCAAACTACTCAGCAAGTTAACAACTGGTTCTCCCGAAGTGGTACGAACTGGCTAAATCCCACCACTGCCGATATGTGCCTGCCTGTTCCACCAGCTCATGGCTTGTTCCATCAGGAAATCTTCCTCATTCCTAGCCTGAACCTTTTGTAATTGTAATATGTTGGTTCTGATCCTGCTGTCTCAAATCCAATGCTGCCTCTGGATGATCAGCTATTTGAAAGTGCTATCGTATCTTTTAGCCATATTTTTTTAAAGACTAAACATACTCGGATCTTATACGCATTATTCTCATACAGCCTTGTTTCCAGATCCTTCACCATCTTGATAGCCCTCTTTTGAATTTGATTTACCAAACATTATTATTGTCCTTTCTGCACTGTGGTGGCCAGACCTGGATCAAATACTCTAGATAGTGTCTGACCAGGACAGGTAGAATTGAATTACATCCACGATATGGACTCTATGCCTCTGTTAATGTATTACGAGATATTGTTTGACTTTTTAGATACTGCATCATACTGCTAATGTTTGACCTTGATTGAACACAGATCTATTTCACATGTAGTACAAACCTTCCATAGCTTCCATTCATCTCTTATATTTTCCTATCCAAATGCAGAAAATTGTATTTTTCTCTATTAAATTCCATCTTATTTGGATCAACTTATTGCTCACATTTGTCTAGTTTGATCTTTTTAAAAATCCTTTTTCATCTAAATTATTAGACAAGCCTCACAGTTTTAAATTTTTCCTGTATGCCCTCATGTAATATTTGATATGTTGTACCATATATAACCTAGACCACAAAGTCATAGAACACAAGCTCCTCTCTAGCCATTAATGGCTGAAGTCAAGCCATTAATGAGTACAGTCAATCAACTATGTGTTTATCTAATTATATTATGTAGTCTATATTTTACCTTTTTATGAAAGAGAATGTTATGAAGTACTTTGTTTAATGTTTCGCTGAGGTTCAAGTATGTCTCATGATATTTTCTTTCATCTAGTTAATTTTTTTTATTCACTTTGATCTACTAGTTATTCTTTCAAAGAAGGAGATAAGTTAGTTTGGCACAATTTGCTTGCAACAAATCTATGTTGGTTCCTTTTTTCGCCTAAATGTTCACAGTCACACATACTTCTGTCAGAGGCTTTGCCTAGTATGTCAAGCTGACAAGTCTATGGTTTCCTGAGTCTTGTTCCCGAGATAATGTCTCTATTTTAATCATGATCAAATAAACCAACATTATATTTCTTCCTTTTACTTTTGACAATCTTGGTCTATAGTCCCTTCAAACCTAGGTTTGAAATCTAGAACTTGGTTTCTTTTCATTTTATCTTTGTCCCTTGTCACAAAGTTCTTCAAAGCTTTAACAAATCCCTTCTGTAAATCCAATATAGAAGAGTTATCCAGGTCACTCTTGGTTTGTTATTTGTATATCTCTTTTAATTATTAAAACATCATCTGATTTCATTGGTACATCCAGTGTAGTATCTTTTTCCATGTCATTGTTATAACTTGTCATTTTTAAATCCTTTTTCAAATCAATCTCAATCCTGTCAGGTAAAACTAGTTCCTCTTCCAAAGCATATTTTAAACATAGTGTATCTATAGAGGCAGATACCCTTAAAATTAACTTCTGAATCCATTGTTAAAAGAATCGTTCAATATGTTGAATGTTGAAGTATTTAGCTTCATTCTATATTTTTAAATTGAATTCAAGTGTTCTTCCCCTTTAACTGTAATTGTTAGTTTGTTCTAGTTTGTTCTCCAATGTTCAATTTTTAAAATCTAATTTTTAAGGTGACCAACCTTTTTACAATGAGAAAGAGGACACATGCATGTGTGCCATGTTGTGTTTCAATAAGAAGTAAATAAAGTCACTTGCGCATGGCGCACTCTTGTGTGCGGCGCACTCTCTCAAAACAATTATCCTGTACGGAGCGCATGTGTCTCATAATCACGTCTCACCGCACTGTACTGAGCCTTCACAAATCATCATATCAAATACAAATACGTCACATTACACGCAACAGATTGGATTGGCATCGATCGAATACGGAGATTTACAGATTAGTCTTCAAATATCAAAAAGGAGGACATGTAGGAGTACACTTTTTGAGAGAGGACAGAACTTACAAAAGAAGGACTGTCCTCCCTAAAGGAGGACGATTTGCCACCTTATAATTTTAATACTTGTCTGTAACTTTCAAAAAAAGTTTCTTTTTTATTCTTTTACTGCTTATTCCCCAAACCCCACACTTGTAATTAATTTTTTTTTCACAAACATTTAAAGGAAAGACATCCAGTGTTATCAAACTTGCCAATTCTAAAGTTTGTAATAACTGAAAAGCAGTTTACAAGCAATTTTCCAAAGTGATTAGAAAAGGAAGTAATTAACTCGGTGTCCTTTTAAAGGCATCACCCACAATTTGCGCAAGATGGTTATTCCCTCATTTCCCAGAATTCTAAACTTGCAGGAGATTGTTGTTGTGTAATGTCCTCACAGGGAACAACTATCTGGGGCATTTGTGGGTGATCTCAAATCATCTACTGGTCTGGAGAGGAATTACAAAAAACTGGTCTGTTTGTTGGCTCTTCTGTCCACCATTTCCCCCCAAAGTCCATTATTTTTTCCTCACAATGGAACTACAGTCTCTTTAATTTTCCTTTAATTTCCAAAATACCCAAAGAGTTCTTTTTTGTTGTTTTTGGTACCTTTTAAAAACTTTACTTTTTTTTTTTTTTTACAATTCCTTTAGTTTTGGAGATTCCATTTAATATAACCTTTTAATACTATCTTTGCCAACTGCATTCCATTTAATGTAACCATTGCCAAGGTTTATCACTACTGCTGGATCCCCAGAAACAATGACACAGCAAAGTCTTCAGGCTCTTCTTAAAGATCAAAATAGTGGGAGCAAATCTAAATTCTGGAAAACGATATTCCAGAGTGTGGGAAATGTCCCCCCCCTCCATTTTCTATACATGCCACTATATTTCATTGTAAAGATATACTGTGCATAACTTAATTCAGTTTGAACAATTGTTTTGCCTATGTGACAGTAGGTAATCTAAGTATATTGAAAAAGTTCAGTTGGCTTGTTTTTTGATCTACAAAGAAATCAGATGAGTTGATAGAACAGTTGGTTACAAGAAAATCAGAGCAATGTGATTACAATCACAATTGGTTTCTATTGCTTTATTCTTTAGAAAATGAGAATTCCTACAAACTCTTCATACATTGTTTGCTGTGTGTATTTTATCTTTCTAGATAATGGCATCGCATCCACGTAGAGTTCGACTGAAACCCTGGCTAGTAGCTCAAGTAGACAGTGGAATGTATCCAGGTCTTCTGTGGCTTAATAGGGATGCAAAGCGATTTCAAATTCCTTGGAAGCATGCAACTCGACATAGTCCTCAACATGAAGAAGAAAATACAATTTTTAAGGTAACCGAAAAACACAGTTCTGCTAGTATGCTACATGATAGAATGAGATTGCTCTCTCTCTCTCTCTCCCTCCCTCCCTCTCCTCTCCTCCCCCCCCTTCAATGGATGGAGGATGAAATTAATAATAGCAACAATAGTATAGCAACAATACATATAATCTTAAATTTGCTGTTTTTTAAGCAATAAAATGGTTGGCATGTTCAGAGATACAACCTGATGGAGATATATCCTGCATTGTTTTCATCAGCAGAACCACATTCTGAACCTGAAATCCTAGGTGGAGAAGCATGCATGCAGTACACAGGCATTAACACACAGGGACAAATGAAGGGCAAAGTGATATACAAAACATAATATATTCAGATAGGGTTTCAGGTCCTTAGTAGATAAAAATCCCCTTCAGTCTTATCCCTGCCTACCCTGTGTACTTTGTGCTATAGCAGAACTAATTTTCCTGGAGTATTGTGGCTTTCCTTCTGAGGAGTTTCAGATTCAATGTTTTAATTATCTACTTTTCAACTCTTCACCTCTGTTCTTGTCACTTGTTGCTAAAGTTCCTTATCTTAGGCATCTAACTTTCTTTGGAGTTAGCCTCATTCAACTCTGTTGGATTTTCCTCTCAGCATTTTGCTGAGGATTGTATTCATCTGGATTTTTTAAAAAATTGTACACTTGTTCTCATGAAGTAAATTTCAGCAATGCATGCTATTTTCTTTTATTCCTGAAGATAGTGAATTAATTTTATCTAGATAAACCTGGAATGCAATTCCGCATTTAAAAAAAAAGAAATTGTAACATTGAGTTGATTTGTTTTAACATAGTCAGGTGTCTTGTTAGAAAAAGCTTGAGAAAGAAAATACCTAATGGTTTAAAGACATCTGTGTCTCTTAGAAAGGTGAAAGGAAACAATTACCTGTTGCAGAAAGTATTTATTGCCTAGGTGTATCTTATAGACGAGAGTTTGTTTGGCAGCACAATTCAACAGAAGCTGGCATAATGACAACCCTTAACTGACATAATGTACTTTGCTCCCAGGCGTGGGCTGTGGAAACAGGAAAGTATCAAGAAGGGGTTGATGATCCTGACCCCGCAAAGTGGAAAGCCCAACTCCGGTGTGCTCTCAACAAAAGCCGTGAATTCAAGCTCATATACGATGGTACCAAAGAAGTGCCAATGAATCCAATTAAAATTTATGAAGTATGTGACATCCCACCATCCCTGACGCCAATCATTAATCCTGGTGAGAAACAGAGAAACTCTTCTGTTTAAAGAAGGTTATAGCTAATCCTAAACTAATTGTCTTAGTTTTCTGGGTTACTAAGGTTTAAGTGAATACAGCAACTATATTGAACAAGCATAATCAATTTATCCATTGTATTATTTAATTGACTGTACTTAAGATCCATTCTGCATATGTAGGGATTTACTACCTATTTGGTACAATCTAAATAGCTCAGCTTCCTTTTTAAAGCCAAAATCAATCAAAAACGTAGAAGTTCAGGTACATCCTGGCAAAAATCCAGAGTAAGAACACGAAATTTGGGTTTTGGGAGGTCTAGTTTTTTTAACGCAACTCTGATGGTTGACCATGGGTTTCCTTTCACTTCATTTTTGAACTGAAATAAGGGGATCATTACAAATGCCCCTATTCTAAAAAGAGTGCTACTTTCAAATGCTGGATGGCATTTGTTAGAAACTTTGGTTACACATTTTGTGTTTGCTAAATAGGGCTTTGCCCGCACATGGAAGAAATACAGTATCTTGGGTTAATTGTTGAATCTGAAGGGCCAATAAATATTTGAGAAAGCAAATTTTCTTGTCTGCCATTTACTTTCTAACACTCTAGCTACATAGTTCAGTGAGAGATATTATAGTATTCTCCTGAAACTCTCAAACTCTAGGAGAACTGTTTTATGCCAACAGACCTGATCTAAGAACCAAAAATGAATTTTGGATTTCACAGCACTCCTATGTTTGGAAACCAAAGAATATTTAGCATAAGAATTCCAAAAAATGATTTACTCTGCAACATTCTCATAGATCTAAAGAAGAATTCAATTTTTTTCTCGGTTTTGTTAAAAATTAGATTGTTAATTACTTTGCAATATTTCAATTCCTACATTTTTTCCAGGTTCCACCGGTTCAGTTCCATGGGATGAAAAGGATAATGATGTAGATGATGAAGATGAAGATGAATTAAATGAGTCTCAGCACGTAGCAATACAGGACAGTTTTCCATTTCTTAATATCAGTGGTTAGTAGATTATTCTGACATATGGTTAATGAAACTGAATTTAAATCTATGTTTTAAAATACTGTTTTCTTTTCGTTAATGTTGAACTAAACATTTTGACAAGTCCTTTCTCAAAGATTTATCTCTAGATGCAACTAAATTAGCATGCAACATGCTACAGAGATATAACTTATATTTAGCACAAATGGTATATGCTGATCTCCTTGGTAAATACTTTCATCCTGCTTTTTATGTATCTGTTAGATATTTAATTAAAAAATGCAGGTAAGTGTATGTACTTATTGACATACTTTTTACATTTCTGCAGACACTTAATCTGATATTAAGTGGAATTCAGAATCTTAATTATTGACTTGATATCTTCCAAAATGTGTGTGGCATAATCCTGCTTTTATTTGCTTCGTGTCTGTCTGATGTAAGGCAGGTCAGGCTTTAAAACACTCCCTTGCTGCTGGGAATTTATTTAATTGGGTTCGTGAGGATTGTGACACCAAAGCTTTGGAATTAATGAAAGGGTGGAATAAGTTACAGCAATGGTATTTGCTCTGCAGGAATCTGAGCAACCGCTAGATGGCAACAGATACAGAAATATCAAACCTTTTGCTGTTATTTGCTAGTTGTCCAGATATTTTATAACCCTAGATAAGTTAATGCATGCCATATGGCGTCCACCTCTGCTATTTGAAACAGGATAAGAAGACTAGACCACAGCAGGATGTTTCCATGGAGGCATTCTGTCCCTCCCACATACACATTGTGTACCGTAGTCTATTAGAGGAAGGTAAATTCCCAGTGCATAACAGGGACAGACACACCTTCCTGGCAAAGGCAGTATATAACAGCTTTAAAAGTCTTGGAATTCCCTGGAGCTAAGTTCAGGTTTTTCAGGTTTTAATGCATCATTGGTTCAACAAATATCTCTGCATTAATTTTCTAGACTTAGAGCTTGTTGAAATTACATTTTGATGGTGCCATGTAGTTATTTTTAAAAAAAACATTTTCTTAATCTACAAGTGACACATTTTTTTTTTATATGCTTTGTATCTAAAGCTTTCTTTTCTCTTTTGATCTTCTCTTTCGGTCCAGTAGCAACCCTGCCCTATGCTGTAGGTGGTTTTATAGATGATGACCACCGGCACCTTAAATTGCACCTGGAAGCCTACTGGGAGCCAGTGCAGCCATGGGGCAATGGTGTTACATGGGTATAATGAGAAACACTATACCCTGCAGCCCTGCAGAAAACCTGCCTGCAGGGCTGCATTTTCGACCAGCTGTAGCTTTCAAATGCTCTTCAAGGGTAGCTCCATGTAGAGTGTGACACAGTAATCCAAACAGGAGGTGACTGAAGCTTGATTTAGGGTTGATGGGTAAGTGTAGGTTGCAGATAGCTACAGAGAGGCTGATGCGCACACCTCCCAAATCCCAACTTCCCCACACTATTGTGTGGAAGTGCACGTCCTACATGCTGATTGGTTGATACGACTTCCTGTTCTGTACTTTGCTGTTTGAGCACCCCTAGCCAGAATGTTAACATTTGCAGATGTATAAATGTAGCAGCTACGCAACCATCTCTGAACTACAGACACATACATTCCCTGACATGCAGTGACAGAGAAATCTAATCCAGGCTCTAGGAATGAGTCACCATGACTAAGGCCTCCCAGTTCAGGAATGGGTACAATTGGTGCATAAGACAAACCTGTGCAAAACCTTTTTGGCCACAGTTGCCACAGCTCTTTGAGCAGGAGCAAAACTTGTGGTAGACTGCATACCAACTCCCCATATCTCTCTACATGGGGCTCACCTTGAGGAGCACTTGGAGGCTCCAACTGGTCCAGAATGTGGCCGCGTGAGTGGTTATGGGAGCGACTCGTCGCTCCCGGGTAACACCTCTCTTGCGCGAGCTGCACTGGCTCCAAGTGGTCTTCTGGGTGCGTTTCGAGGTGCTTGTCACCATCTTCAAAGCACTCCATGGCTTAGGACCGGGATACCTACAGGACCGCCTTCTACCACCGAATGCCTCCCACTGTCCGATATGCTCTCACAGAGAGGGCCTCCTCAGGGTGCCGTTGGCCAAGCAATGTTGGCTGGCGACCCCCAGGGGGAGAACCTTCTCTGTGGGGACTCCTGCCCTATGGAATGAGCTGCCCCCGGATATAAGAAGGATCCCCGACCACCGCGCCTTCCGTCGTGCTCTGAAGACTCTATTGTTCAATCTAGCCGGCCTGACCGAATAAATTAATTTTAATGGGTTTTAATTGGTTTAAAAGGGGTTTTAGCTAAGAGTTTTAATAACAGCCAAATTACTTTAATTTATCTTAACAGTTTTTAATTTTTGTGATGAGTTTGTTTTAATATGGCTGTACACCGCCCTGAGTCCTTCGGGAGAAGGGCGGTATAGAAATGTAATAAAATCAAAAATCAAATCAAATCAACTCTGCATACCAGCTCTGGCTGAGGAAGTCTACTCCCATGCTACTTCCATGCTGAATTAAAGCTGGAAAAACCCCAGAACCAGGAGGCCTTAAAACCTACAGTGACTCCATCTGGCCAAAGCTGAGTTGAAGCCTGTCCTCTGCCATTCAAATCCTCACAACTTCCAGGTGCTGGGAACACATGAGGCCATCACTTGGTTGGTTCAGAGAGGAGATGCAGAACTTGGTATTATCGGCATATTTGTGACTCCATGACCTTATCCAGTAGCTTCAGGTTGATGTTAAATTGCAATGAGGAAAGGGTTGAGGCACCCACAAAGCAGCTCCATAGCTATGCTGATTAGAAATATATAGTTATGTTTGGCTTTAGGACTACCATCTTTCACTTGGCTGACAATCCTGGGAATTATAGACCAGAAGTGTTAGATTGCACTAATAAAAGACTTACTAGAAGAAAAGAATTCAAGCTTTCAATTTAGATTATCGGGATAGATGAAAGGAGAGGTAAAATTCCAATGGTACAAGGTTAATTGTATTGACTTGCATAAGGAAGTCTAATGATACCTGCTTGTCTGATATGAAAATGATTGAATCTTTTTATAAATGTTAGAAAGCAGTGGGGATTACATAATTACATTTCATTTATTTTACTTAGATTCCCCAATGGCTCCTGCCAGTGCAGAGACCTGTAGCCCTGAAGCTGTGTGGCCAAAGAATGAACCTGAAGATATGGAGATGCCAATGCCTCCTGCCTTGCCAGCTCTACAGCATGATATGTACAGCTCTCCTGAACTTTGGATTAGCTCTCTTCCTAGTAAGTCTTTTTAGTTCAGGAGCCACTAGAATAAATAGATGACAAATCATGCACTCTTTTGTTTGGAAAGTCTTGAGTCTCACCTCTATTAAATAAACTGCATTTCTGGAATACTTGTTGAACAAATACAAACATTCTTCTGCAGCTGTTATTCAAATTGGTCTGGGCAGGAAACAATTCTGATTTAAAATACATTTATTGGCATCAGCTGGTAAAAGAAACCTGCATGGGGTCCTTGTCCTATGACCACAATTGAAACTGGAATTTGGTCATACTTTCTTGCAGTTATTAAGTGAGATGCCTATGTGACCACTTTGGTCCATGACCATCATCTCAGCACTTGCAGTTGCAATCATTAAGCTGAGCTTGAGGAGGCCTCAGATGGGGAAAGTCCTGTGAGGTCCAGTGTAGGGCATGAACAAGCTGGAAGGATGCTACAGTGTAGCACGGCCCTGCGGTGTGGCATTTCTCAGTAGAAGCAGGGAGGCCTAAACCTGGAATAGAGGCTTGGATCCTTTAGAGTCTCAGCCATCTGCTACTGCCCCAGGTTTAAATGTCAGCCATAGTGCTGTTGCTGTCACTCAAAAATGCCACTCACACTGTTCTCCAGGGCACAAAAGTCCTGGGAAGCGGCATAATTGCCACTATTGCCCAATGTTCCTAGCAATGTGCTGCAGACTGCTTGCTTTCAGAAATGTGTGTCCTGCTGTTGAGAGGCTTGTGCAGCTTATCCAAGGCGGCTCTCAATTGCACCGGGCCTTCTTTCCTGAACCCTCCTTAGAGCTAGTGGGGCTTCAGAAGCCTTTTGAAACATTGGATAGACTGTATGGGCCTCTCAACAGCAAAAGAAAAACTGCTGAAGGTAAGCAACATGTGGCATTTCTTCAGCAGCACTGGGCTGCAGCGGCAATTGTGCCATTCCCCAAAGTTCACACACCTTGGAGAATGGCACAGTTTTCCTCACTGTGCATCGCTTACTTTCAGGCGTTTTTTTTTTTTTTTGCTACTGAGAGGCCCACATGGCCCACAGTTCAGATGGCTTCCATAGGCCTTCTAGAATTGGCTTCAAGGCAGTTCTGGGAAAGGCCTCTTGTGACTGGGAGCCTTGGCCTCCCACTGGAGGAGAAAAACACCTGAAGATGGAAGATTTTGGGGAATGCTGGGAAATGGGGGCAATCATACAATTCCCTAAGGTTTGCTTGCCTTGGAGAATGGTTCATGGTGGCATTTTTGCTTGGCAGTTGGTGGTGTTGAGGCTGACATCAAGGCTTGAGGCAGTGGCAGCTGGCTGAGATTGTCAAAGGTCCTGGGCCTATATTTCAGATGCAAGAGAGGAGGACATAGGTGGGACAGAATTGCAGCACCCCCATGGTCTCAAGGCCTGCATCACCAAACACCCACATTTTTATCATCTCATTGGAAAGGTGCTACAGTGTTTGCAATTTCAGGCATAGATCATAAGTCCCTAGTTCAGTTCCATCGTATTTTCAAACAGGCGCTGAACAAATGGTTGTTAAGCAAGGACTACTTATAGTTGAAAACTGTTGAACTGTTGGTTAATGATGTTAGGGTAACTTGTCATTAATTGGGTAGCCATTGTGCATAACAAGTGGTTAGATTGTTGCTATGGGTAAGCACTGGATTCATATAATGGCAGGTCTTTTAACAGTAACTTTGCTTTATTTTACAATCCATGACTCCTTGATTTGTTAGGGTTTTGGGTTTTTTTTTTAAATTATGGCAAATTATATCTTTTGTTTCCTAATACCCATAGTCTGTCCTATTTTGTGTTGATTTTATTTAGTTAGATATGGTACAATGCAATTATGGTTCCTACTATACTTCTGATACATTAATAGTATATTTTTCTTAAGTGACAGATCTTGAAATCAAGTTTGAATATCGTGGCAAGGAGTTTGGGCAGACAATGACTGTGAGCAACCCCCAAGGCTGCAGACTTTTCTATGGAGAATTAGGTCCTATGCCAGATCAAGAAGAACTCTTTGGGCCGATTAATTTGGAGCAAGTCAAGTTTCCAGGGCCTGAATCCATCCCAAATGAAAAACAAAAGCTGTTCACCAGTCGACTGCTTGATGTAATGGACAGAGGGCTAATACTAGAAGTCAGTGGTCATGCTATCTATGCTATCAGGCTTTGCCAGTGCAAAGTATATTGGTCTGGGCCATGTGCACCTTCCTCTACCACACCAAATTTAATTGAAAGACAGAAGAGAGTTAAGCTCTTTTGTTTGGAAACATTTCTAAGTGGTGAGTAGCTCTAATGCCTTTGTATCACTATCCGTGAATAACTAGCAGTACTGTTTATTTTAACCTTGTAATCTTGTATGGATTAATACAGCTAGGGCTGTATCTCTATTAGCATTAGAGTGGATACAGCTGTTTTTGTAGTTAGTCCCTGCTGGGTTTACAGTGCATAGCTTTGTTTTCTATATGCCAGAAAATGTGAAGGGATATGGATTCAATTTAATATACTCAATTAAAGCAAAGGTTTCTTTCTTTTTGGCCCAAATGGGTCTCTGGTGTCATTCATTCTATACATCTTCATGTTGTTGAAAGTTATGAGTGAAATGGTATGAGCAGCTACCTGTTCTATTGTAGTTCATTTTTGCACTGATCTGATTTTAAAATCTAACTGAAAGCAAATGCCATTATGGGGATCAATTGATACAATGGAAAGGTGAGGGTAGGATAAATTGCTTCCAGTAATTTCTTCACATATGTCATTTCCAAATACACATACTGTATATTTTACCAGATATAACTAATCTGTTCTTTTATCATAATAATGTAATTTATTACATACTGTCTCTCCTTTTCACATTCTTCCTCTAAATTTAGAGCTAATTGCCCATCAGAAAGGACAGATTAGTAAACAGCCACCATATGAGATCTACTTTTGTTTTGGAGAAGAATGGCCAGATGGAAAATCAAAAGAACGAAAGCTGATTGTTGTTCAGGTAAGAAGACAATTTATTGCAAAAATACTGTATGCTACTACTCCTGCAGTTGCATCTATCATAGAATAAGTCTTCACCTAGAATGTGTAAAATCTGTTTCATGGGTTCTTTTGGGATATAGGGGGGTATAAAAGAGCCAGATAAAGGAGTATAAAGAGCCAGAGCTCCTAGTTCAACAGTTCACAGGTTTCATTTCTTGTTTTCAGGTTTTCTTGTATTGAGCAAGATGAGCCAAAGGAAAGACTCTTAATGTAATGACACCCCTTTTCAAGCTTTGTTTAATACAAGTAAATCTGAGAATGAAAGTTCACAATCCTTTTCATCTAATATAAACCGTTTCCTTTTTATCTAATATAATGAGGCTACCGATGTTCTGAATATGTAATGGACTGAATGAGACCCAATAAAATGAGACTGAAATGGAATGACTGATTTTGGGAGGGAGATCTTTCCCATTTAGTAGTGGTAGCAGTATATCTGAAGAATCAAGTTTCTAATTTTATTTCTGTTGATCTATCACTGTCATTAGAGTCAGAGTAAATAGTCAGAACTTTTTATCTTTTTACACCAATTCCTACTCACTTTGATCAGAATTCATCTTGTAAGAAATTTCCTAACAATTCAAATGAAAGACTACAAGTATTGTATGCCAAAAGTAATTTAAAGTGACTATAACCTATATAGTCAGTGAATACCTCTATTAACTAATTACCAAAATAATAATTGTTTTACCTGTGTATAAATGATGGTCAAGGAAAGAGTCTTGATTCATTGGGCTAACCATAATGTGCTGACCAGCCATATTACTTGTCTATGCTATACAAACCAAAATACTGTTTTCTATATTACAGAACATACCTAGAAAACTGTATGAATCTAATGATTGTGATTTACTCAGTTGTGAATCTGGCCATAAGGATGCAGATCTACAGCTCAAATAATCCCATAGAAATTATTATACAATTTTAATCCCATGAAAGACAAAACGTTTTATTCCTTTTTAGTATCTATCTGATACTACTCTATTGCTGTTCTCTTGCTGCTATGCAAAGCACCTTTGTCTTGCTATGTTAGTGCTGGATCTGAGCAGGTTTAGCTTAAACATGAAGTATAGTGTGGACTGTAGAAATCGCAGACTTGGATTTGCATTAATGGAAATCAATCATGCACCCTAATATCCTTGGAAACAGTTGTTTTAAAATAGCTCATGGTATAGCAGTTGGCACATAGTTGTTGGCGCATTTGTTCCTGCCATGGCTCTTCATTGCAGGACTGTTTACTGGTGACATAATCTATAGTAGCTAATAATGGAATACTACATGTCTATGGAGATTTTCAATCATCCAGGTCATGGTTGTTCCAAAGATGCTTTTCAAAAGGCAACCGGACTTCCTTAGTTTGTTCCTTGAAAATCTTTCACTTCTCATCCAGTTCCGAACTGAAGAAGCTTCTTGGATAAGAAGCAAAACCTTTTCAAGGAAAAAAAAAATCAAAGTTCTAGTTGCCTTTTGAAAAGCACCTTTGGGATGGAACACTACCTTTCTTTTTCCATTTCAGTGCTGGATAGAATGCTGATAGTTGCTGCATTGTTTTTCTACCTCTGTCCTGAAGTGTTTTCATGATTTTGATCTCAAAGATGCAAGTCATATAAACTCTAAATGTATACTTCTAACTTTAGGAAGCACTGTGAATCCTTAGAGATTATGCGGGAGTGTAAATGTGATCAATCAAGAGTACATTTCTCAATAGTCTTCACCAGCTTGAGCATTTGGTTTATTCTAGGTTCCCAGATGAACTTTTAGGATTTGATCATCTTTTATTAGATGATTAGATGAATAATAAAAGATTAACACGAACTTTCTTTTCAAACAGATAATTCCAATTGTAGCACGGATGATCTATGAAATGTTCTCTGGTGACTTCACTCGCTCCTTTGACAGTGGCAGTGTGCGTCTACAGATCTCTATCCCGGATATCAAGGATAACATTGTTGCCCAGCTGAAACAACTCTACCGTCTGCTGCAGAATCACCAAGAAGGTTGGCCAGTGCAGCCACCAAATATGCAGATGGCCCCACCCCTCACAGCACAGTGATGTCTCAGTGTTGGATAACCAAGCAATTGTCTGGATTCTTCATTTCTAGATTGAAATTAATTGAAATAAGAACACTTTTAAATATCTCTTCAGTGTGTGACATTTTAATGAGGAACATTGATATACAATGTAATTGTCTTAAACAATTTAGCAAAAGTTGATCCTAGTTAAATACATGTAAGACACACATATTTCTCTAGTTGTTTTCACTTTTATAAATATAACTATATAAATATAAAGCTTTAAACTTTTCCTTGCTTGCATGTAATGCTGTGGTGCTTTTTTGTCTTTTTACTTATTAACTTCACTCCTGCTTTATTCTTAGAGTATTTTTAGAACAGTTTAAATGCATTAATTCACGATGACTTTAAAAAACAAATACTCCTGTTGCTGCTGCTACATGTGAAATATGTAACCACTACGAACTAAATTTGTTTCAAAATAGTGACCTGATAATTAACAGTAGGCTGTTTTATTCTGTTGATTGATTGTTGTTTTATTATTTCTCTACAAATGAGAAAATGCACAAATTTTAAGCTAGAAACCTTAGGATGTTTTAAAATTAAAGTTTAAAGTTAAAGTTTAAAATTTAAAACCAATTGAAAAAGATAACAAAGACTTAATAATAGATATTAAGTTTGATAAAATAGAAGCCCTTTTCATGTTTTTCTGTACTGAATGCTGTAGCCCAACATGTAATTTACTTGTACAGTGTGAAAAAATTGTTCAAATGCAGTCAGGTGTTTCTAACTGAATTAAATTGTCACATTGGTAGAAGATACAAGACAGCATGTGTGGAAAGTTTTTTTTTTTTTAATGAATGTTGCCAAAATGTGAATACACAAAATGAATATTGTGACAAAAGCTAATTCAGTCTATTGTAAATATGGCAATTTTAGGACTTCCGGAGAAGAAATAGTGAATTGCAGACCATGGCAGAATGAAGAGCCAAAAAATAAACTGGCACTTTATAATTTTTCTTGAAATTGGCTTGTAACTTCTCCTGACAGCTGTTCCTTATGAACAGACTGCAAGACAGTGTGTTTTGCAGGTTTAGAGCTGAGGGAAAGCTATCTTTGTTCATATCATAGTTGGCACCTTTAAAAGAACACTAGGTGTGCTTTCTTCTTTTTCAAATATCACTTTAGCAAATTGTTAACTGTTTTACAGTTATTAGGAACCTTTTAACACCAAGTTACTTTGCTTCAATTCTTAGCAAAATAGTTTTAAAAACAAGTTTAAGGACTTTTTTTTTTTTTGAATAGCAAAAGAGTAATTAGAATGCTAATTTTGGAAAGATACAAATGAAAGATGGATTTGAAATCAAATTTTGGAATTATCGGAATTCTTCCCATCGAAAAATAAATACCTAAAATATTGGGATGAAACGTTGAATGTTGGACATTAGGAGGAAATCAGAAAGAATTAAATATTAGAATTAAATGGCAAGTTACATTTGGCTTACTAACACAGAATAGAGCAAAATACTTTAACATTAGGCATATGGAAGGATACTTTTGAACAACAGATGCAGAAATAAATTTTAAGAGCATCTGGCATTATAGTTAAACTTTTTAAAAGATGTTATGGTAGAGGAACAAGTTTTATTGGACAAGACTGAGACTGATCTAAAAGATTTAAAAATGGTAGGCTACAACAAAGACATGGAAAAGTATCCTATACTGGACATATGAAACCAGATGATGTTTTAATAATTAGATTAGATTATAATTCTTTATTGGCCAAGTGTGACTGGACACACAAAGAATTTGTCTTGGTGCATATGCTCTCAGTGTACATAAAAAAAAAGATACATTCATTAAGAATCATAAGGTACAACACTTAATGATTGTCATAGGGAACAAATAAGCAATCAAATCATATTAGGAAACAGTCAATATAAATTGTAAGGATACCAGCAACAAGGTTACAGTCATACAGTCTAAGTGGGAGGAGATGGGTGATAGGAACGATGAGAAGATTAATAGTAATGCAGACTTAGTGAATAGTTGGACAGTGTTGAGGGAATTATTTGTTTAGCAGAGTGATGGTGTTCGGGAAAAAACTGTTCTTGTGTCTAGTTATTCTGGTGTGCAGAGCCCTATAGTGTAGTTTTGAAGGTAGGATTTGAAACAGTTTATGTCCAGGATGTGAGGGGTCTGTAAATATTTTCACAGCCCTCTTTTTGACTCGTGCAGTATACAGGTCCTCAATGGAATGCAGGTTGGTAGTAATTGTTTTTTCTGCAGTTCTAATTATCCTCTGAAGTCTGTGTCTGTCTTGTTGGGTTGCAGAACCAAACAGTTATAGAGGTGCAGGTGACAGACTCATACTCAGAATTAAAAGGGATACACAAATAAGCCAAAAAGTGGCCTGGATTATTATCCTATACTTTATTTACAAAAGAGATCTGTTAAAGCTTTGAAAAATTTTGTGAGAAGGGACAATAAAGAGAAAAGAGATCAAGTTCTAGGACATTATTTGAAAGGATGAAAGATTAAGGTTGTTAAAAAGTAAAAGACAGGAATATAAAGTAGGTTAAACTAGATATGTTGTTATATCTGGTAACCTTTATGCAGACCAGGACTGCATGGCAAGATTTTAAAAATCTGTTTATAAATAAGAGATGAAATACAGAGAAAAGAGTTCACATGTTGTTTTTTAAGAAAGGGTGATATGTTACTAAAATTGTTTAAGCTTGTGATTAAAGGGAAGGTCATTTCTTTATATATATATATTTCTTTACTATATTTTTATTTTTCTTTCTTTATGCACTTTTTTATTTGTATTTTTACCTTTTTAATTGCAATGTTTAATTATAATAAAATATGGCAATTTTAAAATTGTAATTGTAGTTTAATTGTAGACAGACTATGATAGAAAATATATTTTCATATAGCACATCATATTGTATTATCTTAGCATCAGATACACCTACATTTTTGCTAAGTAGCAGTTATATATAGCTGAATCAAACCTATTTTGCATTCCAAATATAATTGTCATTCTGCTTTCTACTAAGTGTTTGATTTGGAACTTCTTGTTTTGAAAATCATTTGTATATTAAAATGTTTTCATAGCTGCTTTTTTCTACAATAAATGGAATAGTTGGAATATTGTCTATTGTCTTACTAAATAGCCTTGCAAAATGGCCTACTTTACACAAGAGCATTATGATAGCATACATGAAAATGTGCACTTTTTTTTGGTATCTACTTCCGACTTTTTCATGAAGCCAGTTTGTGAATGGCTTCCAGTAAAAACCAAATACAGATCAAGTGAACTACCATCATGAGCTTACCACTCTTTGTCCTCTGTTTACTAAATAGTGTAGATATTAGGGCTACAAGGTGCCAAGAAACGTAACCATTAGATGATGAACAAAAGTTAAAATAGTTTAAATGCTGTATAGCTAGCGAGTGTCTAGATTTTGCCAGCCCAGATCTGGTAGCTATAATAGTTGTGAAGTCAAATGTTCAGAAATGCTCAAATTCATTAGTTCTCTTCAAAGTTACAACACGATTCAGACAACCATTTGTCTGAAATGGCATAGGGTCTTCTGCTTGAGCAGCGGGTTGGACTAGGAGACTTCCAAGGTCCCTTCCAACTCTGATATTCTCTCCTCATATTAGAATTAGAATTCTTTTTTGGCCAAATGTGATTAGACACACAAGGAATTTGTTCCGATGCATAAACTCTCAGTGTACATACAACAATAGTGATAGATCATTATCTATAACTGCCTGGTTTGGTTCTGCAACCCAACAAGACAGATACAGAATTCAAAGGATAATTAGAGCTGCAGAAAAAAACAATTACTATCAACCTGCCTTCCATTGAGGACCTGTATACTGCACAAGTCAAAAAGAGGGCTGTGAAAATATTTACAGACCCCTCGCATCCTGGACCAGGGTGGATTTGATTTAAATCGAGTTGATTTAAATCACAATTTAAATCATGATTTAAATCACTAGTAAAAAGGCTTGATTTAAATCAACTCGATTTAAATCATAATTTTTAAAGAGCAACTGTCATCTCTGCTACTCCTTTGACCCACTGTTGACTCACCGATAGTCCCAGTGTTGCAGAATATACAGCCTCATGCTACATAACTAAGCTCCATTTCATGCTGAATAAACTAAATTATTTATGTATCTGATTTTTTTGATTTTTATTCACCCTGTCCTGGACATAAACTGTTTCAACTCCTACCCTCAAAACGACACTAGAGAGCACTGCACATCAGAACAACTAGACACAAGAACAGTTTTTTTCCCAAATGCCATCACTGCTAAACAAATAATTTCCTCAACACTGTCCAACTATTCACTAAGTCTGCACTACTATTAACCTTCTCATCGTTCCTATTACCCATCTCCTCCCACTTATGATTGTATGACTATAACCTTGTTGCTGGTATCCTTATGATTTATATTGACTGTTTCCTAATGTGATTTGATTGCTTATTTCTACCCTATGACTATCATTAAGTGTTGTACCTTATGATTCTTGACGAATGCATCTTTTCTTTTATGTACACTGAGAGCATATGCACCAAAACAAATTCCTTGTGTGTCCAATCACACTTGGCCAATAAAGAATTCTATTCTATTCTATTGTCAGGTTAAAAATACATTCATCATAAAACATTAGATACATCACTTAGTGATAGGCGTGGATACTAAATAAGCAATCAACATAAATCATACTAGGATACTAAGTAAACGATATAAATGGTAAGATACAAGCGACAAAGCTATAGTTATAAGATGAACCCTTTTTAATGAGCAAAGCGATAAACCACCATTTCAAGACTTCTCATGCATCAGTCCTAGAGGGTGGGAAGCGAGCCCCAAAGACGCAAAACGATGACTTATTAGAATGGCATGAAACTGAGGCACAAATGCAGTCTGTGCGGGCAGGGTTAGAAGCCCGATAGCACCGCGTGCGTCTAGTTCTGATAAATCAGTTTGCTGTAGAGCCCGAGGCTGCTATTCCAGGGTACTTGCACAAGTCAGGGCAAAATGAGCTCTTGGTGCAACACTTGTCCCTGGCGATACAGATGTTAGCTTTAGTGGGGGGGGGGGACGAAATCCGCTCCTCCCTTCTTCCCCTCCCCTCCCGACCTTAGTACATTTTAGCGGGCAACCTTTGATCGCCAGCCTCGCTCTTCGCTCCCACATCCTCCCCTGTCCCTTTAAGGCCTGGCTGTCAGCAGTGAGAGGAGAGGCAGCCTTTTCCCTTCCGGTTTCTAGCTCCGCGTTGGTTGCCTTCGCTTAAGGCAGGGGTCCCCAAACTTGCAGCTTTAAGACTTGTGGACTTCAACTCCCAGAATTCTCCAGCCAACATAGCCAAGTTTGAAGACCTCTGGCTTAAGGTATAGGAAGCGGAAATGTAATTCACACGTGAACGGAACGGAGTTGGTTTGTTTCGGCGTGGCCGAGACTCGCGGAGGTTAGTGGGATCTAACTAAGGAGGGAGAGAGGGCAGCAGAGGCAGATCGCCTCCCTAACGTCGCTTATTCCCCTTAAATCCTGCGCCCTGAAACTACAACCTACTTGCGTTGTAGTCAAGAGAGCATCTTTCTGCAGGGCACAAATGCAAAACGTGTTGGTCAATAAAATCCAGAAAATAGCGCGTAACGAAACAGGTCACATTTGTGAGTTTGCTTTCTCCAGCCTTTAAAACCAAGATGGATCTTTAGGCAGAGCGACTATTAAGAAATATACACAACAAGTAACCATTGTTTAGATGGCGATCTGGCTTTTTGAATATGGCTTTTACGCTCAGGGCGAATGATGGGGAAATGTGGAATAAATGTAAGGTAACTTCGGTCTTGTGGCACTTATTTCAAGATTCGGGGCTGGGTTCTGCTGCTAGATCTTTATGGATCAGAGCCTGCCCTTAGTAAAGGGCCACCACTGGAAACATAAAATGGAACCAGAGGCTAAGAAATGCAGCGGGAAGTCACCACCTCGTCATACAAAAGACTCCGTTGGAATTAATATGATTGAACAACTGGTCCTTTGCAAATTGTGAGATGTACAACTTGTAAGCAAAATGGGGTCTTTTGTTATTTAAACATATTTTGTTACTGGTTTTGCTTGGATTTTCTGATCCCCATTTTGTAGCAACAGTATCTTCTCTTATTTCTGCATTTTGTGGTATGTAACATGGAGCAAGTTAGACCCAATGGTCCTCTCAGTGTTTCTGAACTATATCTTTTCATTTAGCCCATGATAACAGAGGCTGGGAATTATAACTCTGTAGTATCTGAATGGGCACAGATCCTTTACTCCCGATTTACTCTTTCCATCAAGGGGAAAAAATGGGCTTTTTCAGTCTTCATTTCAATCAAATAGGTAGTCTGCACAATGGGGATATATAGTTAATAAATATTAACTGCATGAACTGTTTTGCATCAAGTTTATGTGGTACCATTTAGCAATACAGGAATATATGAGAGAATTGTAACCTAAACAAAGACCAACAGACTAATATTTGTCTCAATGTAAGTTGAGAGGAAGAGCCAGTTTGATGTTAGAAGCTGTAAGTACTAGTCCTGCCTTAGGCAGAAACATATTTGGGTGACCTTGAGCCAGTCATAGCCCCTCAACCTTAAGAAGAAAGCAATAGCAAACCACTTTCAACTTCCTGCCAAGAAATCTACAAGGGCTTCTCCAAGCAATTGTTAGGAGTCAGCAATTACCTGAACGCATAAATAAAAATAGAGGAGAAAGCTGATTAAACAATCAGCTATTTTCCCATCTCCAGTCCTTGAACAGAGAAGCAACTTCATTAATTCTTACATGCTTTATATTTACAGTAAACATTGGTTACTGTGAAAAAAAATCCACCCAGTTACTTTGATTTGAATCAGGTATCACCTGTAGATGCAGTATGAAGCTTATCCAGACTGCAGTAAAGGCTGAGCATCCATTCTCTTTTCTGAGAACCTTTCTGAACTTTTGTTTGCATAATTCTCTATTACAGTCTTGTTTCAGGATGAATTACATGTATAGTATGTGAAACTTTCCATTGCTCCTTCCCCTGACATATCTTCCTCTTATTTCTTTCAGTTTAATTTATTAACTCATTTATAAAAATGAAACTGTATTGGTTACTTTTGTTACATCACCATGAATTGATGTTTTACTATTTCCTAAGGCCTGGCTAAAGAAGCAGATGTCTAAAACTAGTGGACAATTAACTGTTTCGGGAGTTCTAGAGTTCTCTTTCTAATGAATGAGCTATGAATGGCGGAGCAATTGGCACAACTGCTCATTAAGGCAGCTCAACTTCATCTTAGAACTGGAAAGAAGAAAAGATTATCATCTTCAGCCTCCTTGAATGTAGCTGGGGAGATACTGGCAGTAGCAGCTGGTTTGAAACCGGCTTTTCTGTATGATTACAATTCGGCTGGGACTTCTCAGATCCTGGACTATGTTCAACATCTTCAAACTATCCTTCAACTTACATGTCGGCTGCATATTCTTAATATAGGTGAAAATGTTCTAATAATCAACTTGGAACTGATGTGTTTGTATCTGGAGTCAGTCCTGCTTAGCAATAATGTCATCTTCATTGACGTTTCTGCTTTTAGACCATGTCCTACCTTTTCGAATCCAGAAAATGTGAACCTTATAAAAACCCATCTGTCAGAAATATTGAATCATATTAAAGCATTAACAGAAGATACATTTCAGACAATATCTTCAAGTGAACTTTTTTCCACTGAATGGAATCTCTGTACTCTATTTGGTGTATTGCTAGGGTATCCAGCATCCTATAATTTTCCTACTCAGAAGAGTTCTGATAATTGTCTTACACTAATTCCACTGCGAGTGTTTACTGCTCAAGCAACATTTTGTATGGTAAACAGTGATTTCAAAGTTCGGTTTTATTCTTTCAGCATCCCAGAACTCTTGTATCCAGACATGAAAATGAACCTCAGCGCATGGTATGAAAAACTCACAGATGCTTTTAAAGCCCAGAAAGAATTTGCTGATCTCTGCATTGCAAGTGAGGTGGTTGCTCTATCAGCAGTGGCCTTGTAAATATGAATCCCGGTTTAGAGACTGATAACAGTGCTTCTCCACAGTATTCTACTGATTTGTTTAAAAGCTTCAGAACAGGGACAGTTTGTCAGTGTCATGTCAGTGTTTTAAGCAAATACGCAGTTTTCCTTTCAGCAGCATTCAGGATATCCTTCATACTTAAATTTCCAAGAATCTATTTCAGGTTAGCATACTTTTGCAGAAGATATTATTAACTGATCTATTCCAAATTCCAGGCAAAAAGAATTCAGTGCTTTTCTCCAGCTAGAATAGGCAATGATTTCAATTCTAGTATGGTCAAGTAACATTTAAGTGAATTGAGGAACTTAAGATTTTTGAAACTGTCAGAATGGCTATTGTGTCAGTGGTTGTAAAGATCAATGATATATATGGATAGGCATACAAACAATATTTGTTGCTTTGGTTTTAATAATAATACAAAAACTAATTTAAGCAATACACAAAACCAAGCAGACAAACTCCTTCAGTAGGAGTTTCAGTACAATACGCGATTCTTAATTTTACAAGACATTTTAAAATTGAAATACTAACTATTTGGGATAATTTAGACTGCTATAGTGCAATCAATAATAGGCAAATAAGACAAGGTATATTCAAGGTATAAAGTTGCTTAAATAAGATACCAGAGCTGTTACCATGATTACCATTATGATAGGAATCCAATGATCATAATTTCTCTGAAAAAAAATGTTTTGAGATAATAAGTTGATTATAAATAAAGTACATAGAAAAAAAAATACTCCTGGTCATGTAGTGACACTTCTATTCTGCTTTCACATTGTTATTTTATTCCAAAGAAACTTCTACCTCTTATCTGATTAAAGTATATGTATCGGAAGTAAAAGCGTTTTCCCCCCTCTGCAATGGCAAGAAAAATGAAATAAAACTATACAGTAGAGTTGATGCTGAAGATAGATGAATTATGATTATAATCAATGTTATTCAGTGTGTTTTGGTAAAAAGATTATCTTAAAAGCTACATTTCATAGACATATTGCAGAGACACAAGGTGAATCTTTTGTGCATGGTTCTTAAGAAAATTACAAGTATGTAAAGATAAAGGTTCCCCTCGCACATATATGCTAGTTGTTCCCGACTCTAGGGGGCGGTGCTCATCTCCGTTTCAAAACCGAAGAGCCAGCGCTGTCCAAAGACGTCTCCGTGGTCATGTGGCCGGTACGACTAAACGCCAAAGGTACACGGAATGCTGTTACCACCAAAGGTGGTTCCTATTTTTCTATTTCCATTTTTTTATGTGCTTTTGAACTGCTAGGTTGGCAGAAACTGGGACAAGTAACGGGAGCTCACCCTGTTACGTGGCACTAGGGATTCGAACTACTGAACTGCTGATCTTTTGATCAACAAGCTCAGCGTCTTTATACACTTATATACAAATGTATAAAGGGACTTTATTTATTAATCTCATTTCTACACCACTCATCTCACGTGACTCTGGACAGGTTATAACAAACAAAAATATTTACATCTAATTTAAAAATACCCAGTTTGTATATCCCAGGCTTTCTATGAAGGCCTGCCATCCAGTCTCCTTAATAGTAATGTAACATCACAATTCTTTATTTTTGTTGCATATATACGCATTTTTATTTTTGAAACATCCAAGTTCCAATCCATGAGCAGGGCACCAAAACAAAAAAGGTGGGCTACAACAATTTTGCCAACCAAGAATTGGTTGTTCGGATTGGTTAGGATTTCAATTTCTAAATAAGCTAGCCACTGAGGTAAATTGTTGTTATGGGAATTCTGGGCATTTGAATCCCAATTTCTGTAGAATGCCAAGTTAATTGGGGAAATCTATATCTTTGATGATTAAGATTGCAATAGGTGGCACAAATGGAAGTTCTTACCTGGGCTGGTTTGCTTTGAGAGTGCTTGAGTTCATCATGACAATGCTGTAAATTGGCAAGGCAACTGCTATATTCATTGTTCAGGATCTTTAGTTTATGGCAGAGATCAGTGCACTGGACAAGAAAACAAAAACATGCTTAAAATGATTGTTCTATATTGTTTTAATAATAATAATAATAATAATAAAAAAACAAGGTTTATGGCAGGGGTGGGCCTCATGAGCCCAAGAAGCTCCCTGCCATTCCTCATTCCTATTTTTTGCAGACCCCAAAGTTTTCTAAGATCAAGCTGCTAAAATTCTGCAGTATGTGCAATTCCGGCTGATTTTACCTTAAACAAACAAAAGCTGCTGCTAATTTATTTTACTTTAACCCTCTCAGCTATTCTGAATACTGAATAATTACTGAATTATTCTGAATTAATGAATTATTCTGAAGTTATGAACATGAACAAATGTTATATTTTATGTTCTAGTTTTGCTTCTTGGTTCCATAGAATATAGTTCTGCTTTATTTTCAGAAGTTACAATTAAACATTTTAAAAATGTGTCTGTGCACCATCCTGCCACACTGGGAATTACATCTTACATTTGCCCCTGAATGCACCCCTATCAATTTCTGTCTGCAAAGCAGTCTTGGCATTTTGCATACTGCCAGGTGAAAAAATTGATTCTGGGGGAAGATGATGCTTTTCTTCTTTGTGTCAAGTTAGCTGCAATGTATTGTATTAGAAAAGTCTTAAGTTTATGGCATTTTCTTTGAGTGTTTTAATGGCCCAGTTGTAAGGCTTGCATTTCACTGGGAAACCTTATATATATCACAGAATCGTCCATATATTTTGGAATTGGGAGAGGCAACAAGCAGTGAAGTTAAGAAATTGGGGACGATTTGAAAAATAAAATGGATACTAGGGTGGAAGACCTTAAACAAGATGGTGGTGTTGGAAATGATTCTGCACAAAAAACTTGGATCGGTAAGAAATGTTTATTTATCCAAAATAAAATAAAAAAGGCAGTTTGCAAAGTGCTGTGGGTCTTGGCGGGAAACTTCAACAGAAAGTTCTAAGCCAAAAGCCACACTCCTGAATTCAAATACAAGATATTTTATACAAGATATTTTATAACGCGATGCCTCATTCCCTCCCCTTTGGTCCTATTGGATAGGTCCTCCGGGGTTACAATTAATCCGAGGCGCCTATTAAGAATACATTAACCCTCTTCCTGCCCTTCAATTACAGCCCGGTTGGCTTTCCCTCTTATATGCAGAAGGTCCCACACTCTGATGCCCCCTCTTGCTTTGCCTGTTCTGTTGGTCATGGCTTGGAGGAGCTAGCAACAGACGGATGCGGCTAGAGCCAAACAGAGAAATGAGATCCAGCTGCTGTCCAAGGGTGAAGCCACTCACACATGCACACACATTCTTCCTCCTTCCCTAACAAAAGGACTTGTGCTCTGGCAAAACCCCCATGCTCTCCAGACTTGTTAGTCTTTCTGCGGTTAGGAAATGCACAGAGGAAGCTGTGATTGGGAGAAGGGTCCTCTCACTCACACACATGCAGGCATACACACACTTCCCACGCTTTTCCATGCTTTAAAATTAAAATTTAGAGGTACTCACCTTCTTTCCAAGCAGCCTTTGAGCTCAACACTCAAAACCCATTTAAAATCTAGTTCCGAATGGCCAAGGCCCCAGAAAACTTACCTACAGACTCAATGGGTCTGCTGCTAGCAAGAGAAGCTTACTTGGGCAAGGTCCATTGTTTAGGTTAGCTTGGAGTCCCATCTCTGGAGTGCCAAATTGTTGGAAGAAATATCCTTCTGGGTTCAGTTCCAAATGGGGAAAAAGACACTGGAAACATGGAGACTGCTTGGAAAGATGGTTTAATGGTGGACAGGATCACATGGCTTGAGTTCCTGAGTAGAAAAAGGGATGAGATGCTGGAAGTGCCTTGGTTTTATGCCCTCTGTTGGGCCCCACCTCAGTGTTCCAGTTCCTGTGTAAGAAATGCATCCTGATTGGTTGTCAAACTCCCAGGGGACGGGGGTCTTTGCTAACTTTGTAGGTTGTCTCCCAGGCTTGCTTGAGCCTTGCCATGTGGTGAGTTTCTGTTGCTAGATGGGTCCTATTATGTCTTTTGTGTTGCAGATGATGGCCCATTGACAAAAGTGGGGGGAACAGGAAGCTAGAGGGAGCTGCTTTGTCTTTAAAACATGTTTCTCCATTTCTCATCCAGGGAAATATAATATTCTGCCTTTTTAATATTTCCTAAAATATTTTAGGTGTGGGGTGGGTTTATTTCCTACAGAGTCACAGATCTATGTAAGTGTCCGCCCCAATAGCTAAAGGAACAAAGGGATTGGGTATGTTAAATCCTTTCTTAATTTTAGTTTAAATTTAGGAAACTAGCTTAATTAGAGAACAGCACTTAAGAGGAATGTGACAACAGCAAAAGGTCTTATCAATATTGTTTGAAAGCATCCTACGTCATTCTATGGCAATGCTTCCTGAGCTACTTTGAAAAGAGTTAATTAATTATGATAAATTGCTTGGATCTTAACTGAAAGCTACAAAGTCTACAAGCTGCTGGACAGACAATGAAAGACAAGATATTTATACACCATCCTTGTTTACTTTGTATGTAACTAATTACGTGTTGAAAGACAGCATGGGTGAAATTTTCTTTTAGGATAACAATTCATTTTATCAGCTCATCTAAATGGGTGAACAGATGTGGAACACAGTTTTGGTAGAACACTAGTTATTTTTATGACATTCATGCTAATTTTCTTGCCCTTGTTCCTAATTGATGGGATAGTATCAAGTACAAGTTTTAGTTTGCAAAATTACTGAAATAAAATGGACTTGTTTCTCACATTTGATTTGGGAAAATCAGGGAAAACATTAGCTGTTGTGTTAACATATACTAAAACTGTGTTGATCTATTAGTGACTGGATGTGAGAAATTCAATATGGGATCTGGATCAATCCCTCTGTTCCACGTGTTTGTATACGATGGAATTAAGGGTACATTATCATAGTACAGTAATTATTAGCCTTTTCATACACAATAGTTATATATTATCAGCTGAAAGAGAATCTGAATTTACTATCAGTGATAAGCAGTTGGACATGCATTTAATGTAAACGAAATTTGAAATAATGCATGTAAGAGATCAAATGCAAGACACTAAACTTGATGAGATACGAACTGATAATACAAAGTGTTCATAGTTCCATTGTAAGATATATACAAATAACAATCTAATGATATCCTTCAATCATATTAGCTGCTTGAATCACCTCTTCACCTCTTTTTTCTTAGCTGCAAGCTGGGATGTCCTTTTTTGCAGTTCTTCTCTCAGGTTGCTCTCTTTCTTTCCCTCTTGATCCTCTGATTGGACATTCTGCTTAGTTATCATCCAACTGAGGACTTCATTGGGCACTGTGACAATCTGTTCTATAAAAACAATGATATTAGAAACATATTCTTGTATTCCTATGATACTGCAGGATGTTTGCCTTGCCCAATATATGCATGAATTAAAACCTGTCCTTTATGGCTTATGTCATAAATATAATTTATGACATAACTGTCTCTTCTCCCCTCCCTCGTCAGCCATGGCAGGAGCTGGAAGTCAGGTAAGACACGGCGGAGAAGCGAGACGCAATCCAAAGTAGTTCATTGTAATACACTATTCCCATCTCCTGTATACAAACCCCAACTTAAGTGGCGAGCTAAAAATGAAAATTAAAAAATCTGAATGTTTTAGGCAACAGCTCACCTGAAGGAGAAGCTGCTATGCGTTTGAGTTTCTGAGCCCACCAAGTGCTGAAATTTATTGCAGCGAGTAAAATCAGACAGCTGACATAAAAATCCAGCAGGTTCTAGCCAGTAAAATTATTTATCAAGCTAACAAGGGGAGGACTTTTTCATGTAGCAACAGTCCGATGTGGGGAAGGCATGCTTTTATATTTACCTTTGGGTTGAAGCCCTGTCTCATTCCATGCCTCTTGCTTCTCCGCCTCTGCACCCCTCCCCACCTGCCACTCCCCCTCGCTGGCTGAGATTGGCAAGCCTGATTCAGTGAGGCTCTGTCTTAGGCCCGGATAGGCAGTTTGTGTTTATAAGGAAACTAAAACTAAAAAAAAAAAAAAAAAACTAAAGAAGACAATCTACTATCTGTTTATTTAATTTATTATAGTTTTAATCACCACCAGCAATAGTAATGTAGTTTATGAAATGAATACCACAAAGATAGAATAATAGAATAACAGAGTTGGAAGATACTTTGGAGGTCTTCAAATCCAACCTCCTGCTTATATACCATTTTAGACAAATGGTTGCCCAATCTCTTCTTAAAAGCTTCCAGTCTTAAAGCACTAAATATTCAAGATAGAATATCACTCTTGTATTGATATAGTTAGTGTTGTGTTACTGCTACTACTGTTATAAAGTATGATAATTAATAATGTAAAATTAACAAGAATAATATTATTGTTATTATTCCTATGACAACCACACTCATCTTGCTCTGGTCATATTATGCTAACCAGTTTAGTTCATTTTAGGTCTCAGTTATGGCCTGCTTGAAAGTTATTACACATTAAAAAGCCTAATGTTTTCAATGACATAGAACATTTTTATCACACTTGAGAAATCACTACTACATTCAGCGATATACAGTAGCTGGTGGCTCTACCCTGACCTCTCTAAATGTACTAGTGGCAAAGACTAATAGCTGTAAAAATAGGAATTTATCAAGTGTTGATATATTGAGAAGAAACAAAAATAACAGCTTGAGGCTTTTAATTCACAATATTCACATACCTACCCTATGTTGGTAGATCTCCAAGCTAATTATTCACCACTTTTCTCAGACAGCTTTACTTACTTTGAAGATGTTCAGTTGTTGCCTCCAGTATGAGTTTTTGCTTTTCTTCAGTTAGCAGCTTGCCTAAAAACAGTAAGGAATGATGCATAATTTTCTGCAGTTTTTTTTCCTTTTGCCTGAATAGAAGTGTTTGTATTGTAAGTGGGAGATGGATTTAGGTCTAGCCTACAGAAATCTACACTGTATGATGTTTAAAGACTGCACCCTTGACACTCTTTCTTCCCTAAAACCAAATGAGGCAGCATTGTTTATCACACTAAGCAGAGCAGCACACTTTGCTTAGTAACTTTTGAGTACTCTGGTAGCTCAAGAAGAAGTAAGCTGTACCTTTCATTGAAAAAAAAAAGTTTAACTTATTATTGCAATTGTATTGTTTATCTGAGAAAGTCAGACTTCAAGAGTATCTGGCAAATCTTTTATAAGATCAATCTATCACACAATGCATGAGGGAATTGCTTGCCTGAAAACATTTACATTTCTTTCCACAGCTAGCATTTAACAGCAAATTGCTATAAAGCGATTTTGATTTGCAGGGTAGAGAGGATCTTTCAAATAACCTTTTTTCAATATTCATTCTAAGTTTATTCAGTTATAAATTTATTCCATTGTAAGTTTATTCATTCTAAGGGTATTCAGTTATTATTCAAAATCTTACTAGTGTTTGAAATCAGTGGCTACCATCCCAGAAACGGGCAGTTAGTTTTAAAATACTATACATAAAATACACGAGAGGGGGAAACAATCTTAAATTTTACCAGACTCTTTCTTGCCCAAGGTCCTGATTAACTATGCAATTTTGTTTCAGTTCAATTCAATTTGTAGTGTAAGATAAAGGTAAAGGTGAAAGGTTCCCCTCGCATGTATGCGTTAGTCATTCCCGACTCTAGGGGGCGGTGCTCATTTCCGTTTCAAAGCTGAAGAGCCAGTGCTGCCTGAAGACGTCTCCATGGTCACGTGGCTGGCATGACTAAATACCAAAGGCGCACGGAACCCTGTTATCTTCCCACCAAAGGTGGTCCCTATTTTTCTTCTTGCATTTTTTACGTGCTTTCGAATTGCTAGGTTGGCAGAAGCTGGGACAAGTAATGGGAGCTCACCCTGTTATGTGAAACCAGGGATTCGAACCACTGAAGTGCTAACTTTCGATCGACAAGCTCAGCATCTTAGCCACTGAGCCACTGCATCCCTTTTAATTTGTACTGTACTGTTGTATAAATTGCATCACCTGGTTTTAATTATTAACGGTAATTTAAATGGAAGCTTAATTAGATTTCTACATAAATTAAGTCTACCACAATCCAGCTTCTTGTTCATGCTGTTGATTCTTTACCTTCCACTTCACCAAGATATTCCATGATGAGTCTCTTTTCTTCTTGCAGATTATCAATTCTTGAATATAGATTTGCACACTCATTCTCCATGTCTTTTAGGGCTTGTTGAAGTTGACAGTTCTGGGTATCTGACCACTGCAAACATGAAAAAAACAAACAAAATAAGAACTACCCAAAGACAGAAAACTTGAGTTGTTTTTATAAATCATACAATTTATAGTGTTAAATTCAAGTGTTAAGCAGAAATAACATGACAGCTGTTACTCTGATTTATAGTTTAACATGTAACATGTAAATGAGATGCCTTTAAACTTAACAACTAGCCTCTTTGAAAACAAGTTTTTGGATGATAGTACTTTATATCTGTTGTGTTTGGGGAAATGTAGTGCTTAGATTACTTCAGATCTTTTCAGTAACTTTGCTTATTTGACAAATGGGTTTCTTTAAGGCATGATTCCCCCACTGTCAATTTTGACAGTTCCTTGGTTATTACTGGTTTTATTTTAAAGATGGTTGCAAATGTTCTTGGCTATATGGCATTTTCAATATGTATAGTTGTTGCATTTAATTTATTAGTTGTTGATGTTTATTTACTGATTTGGCTGCTAAGTTGTAAGCTAATTGTATTGGATATAATTTTGTAATTACTAATGACTTTTGTCAAGGTGCATAAAACAATAACAGCAGCAACTTTGTTCCTATGTGTTAAAATGATATGCTACTGTCCTTAGCATGCTGGTAACAATTCACCATAAATGGGTGTCTGAGCCATGCTTTCTTTTCCTGTTCTTTCACTAAAAACTGCTAACTTGACAAATGCTATTATGAAATGAAAACCCGGAATAGAACCTCTTAAGGAGGTTACCTGCAGTTTATTCTCCAAGGCATGCAGCTTGTTTTTGACTTCAGAGTGCTGGTCAGTTAGTTGACTCCAATCTTTTTTAAAGTTGTCAAGTTGATCTTTCCAGAGGCTACAATCATCCTCGGCAACAGTTAGGGCTCTCTAAGAGGAATAGCATCATTTATCATTAGTAAAGTTGACAAACATATTTTCAGGACAGTCTTGTTAAAAAGCAGAATAATGATTAGCTGTTCATTGTAAATGTGACAATTTTATTGCAAGTCTAATTTGATGTGATAGGATATCTGATTGAATATATCAGAATGTGATAGGTATGCTTATACATGGGGATAACTGGTCTCCTGTTCTTGCAAAGTTGGAAAATACTGTCAAAATGACCAATATTTCTATTGATTAATGACATCAATTTTTATATAGCTTTCTTCTTGTGAAGTGTTGTTCCCTGGGATCTGAGGCTGAAGAAGAGTAGCTGGCCCAAGACCAGAGCTAGAGTCTTTCTAATTTGCAATCATTTATTTGCTTTATGTTGGTACATTATTCCTAACTCACATGCATTTCTAGATGTTCTGTAGCACGGGTGTCAAACTTGATTGCGTCACATGACATCATGTGATATATCGCAATGTTTTTTGCCTTTGCGGAGCTGGGGTGGACGTAGCCTGCGAGTCATGCATCTGGTTTGCAGGCCGTCAGTTTGACACCCATGTTCTGTAGAATAGTTGCATTTCTCTGACTTCATTAAAATCACCTTTCTACACATCAGGTAGAAAACAAAACTTTTAAGACGAAACGGCATTGCCCTACAAGTAATGGATGCAAATCCTTTCAATTTTTGGAGAAGAATTTCTCCCACAAGCAGAATGGTCCTCAATGAATCAAGGAGTTTCCTGACATTCTTGATGATCTGAAAACATCTCAGGATATTTAGAGTTTCAGCAATATATATTCCTATAGGCCTAAGGCTAAAATCCTTGCCTACCTGGGCATTTTGAAATTGCTTTTGTGCCTGCGTTTTCTCCTCGAGCAGTTTCTGAAGAGATTCTTTTACTTTCTGTTCATAATTCTGCTTTTGATCTTCCATCTCGAGGAGAATCCTTTTTAAGCCTCGCTTTGAATAACTCTAAGAAAAAAGAAAAAGAAAACAACAGAGAGAGAGAGAGAGATCAAAATTCATTGTCTTAAAATATTTGACTGGTTATGGTTTATCTAATTGGTTTATCTGATAAACTTTATCCCACTGAGATATATCAGTCATGACTAACATGGACTAAGAAAGGACTTAATGTGGATCTAACCCAAGAGATCCCTAGCTCATCAAGCTAAACTTGCTGTACTAGATAATTTTTTTTGCAAGCAATAATATTCTAAAGAATGTTATTTCTTAGAAAATGGCAAAGAAAACTGGCAACTTAACACTGTAAAAGACACTAGCATGTTAAACATTCTTGATTTAAGATTCCAGGTACAGGCAACAGACCAAAACTTTGAAATGTTATGCAGCCTACATTACATCTATTAAAATGTGAATCGAATTATGGTTACCTTTTAAAAAAAAGTTTTATTTTAAAAGGTTAAAATGCTTTCTAGGCATCTGCAGAAAATTCTTAGTAGTGTTATACTTTCTTAACAGTGTTATACTTTTATTACATATAAGGAGAAGAAGTAACATGTTGATCTCATGTAAAATGTTTCTGTGCTGCAATTTTATATGCACTCTATAGGGACAAATCTTTTAGCGATAACCACATAAATCTGAATATATATGAGACACAACCATCAAAAATAGTGGCAGTATAGTTCAACAGCAACGTGCAAAAAAATCATGATGCTCAGGAAACAAATTATTGTTCAAAGAACAACAAATGTTTATCATTCTTCAGGTTTTTGAGAAAGAGTTATGATGAGTGTATTCTTTCAAATATATCGAATATTTGTATAATGTTAATATTATTAATGAATTGATATCTGGAGAATAAAGCATGTCCCCAAACTACAGAAGGTGACATTCTTCATGTACATAGTTTTAGTTTTAAACATTTAGTTTTAGTTTAAATTCAAAAATTTAAAACTAAAAGTTTAAACTTTCCCTTTTTGAGCCAAATATATTACCTGGGTACATATCTGCAGTTGATTCTCCAGCACACTCAGCCTGCATTTGAGTTTGTCTTCATTAAACTGACCCTAATGGAATAAAATAAGTGTAAAATTGTGAATAATTTTGCAAATAAGATTTTTTAAACTCTCTGATATACCAAGTGCCTTGCTTTATTCATATTATTTAAAAGTTTTATTTAAAATTAAGAATCAGATCCTTCACAAAAAAAGCACATTGGAATCTATGACTATCAGGAACAGAAAAGAAAATATAACCGTTCATATCACTTATCCTTATAGCTATCCTAATTACCAAAAGGCCTATGCTAATTGTTTATTTTAAAATTCCAGAGCCTTGGTAGTACAGTGGTCTAAAGCACCCTGTTATTACGACCAGCTGCCTGCAATTACTGCAGATTCGAATCTCGCCAGGCTCAAGGTTGACTCAGCCTTCCATCCTTTCTAAGGTAGGTGAAATGAGGACCCAGTTTGTGGGGTCAATAGCTGACTTTGTATAAATATACAAAAGTATGAAGGCTATTGCTTAGCGCATTGTAAGCCGCCCTGAGTCTCCGGAGAAGGGCGGCATATAAATCAAATTAAAAAAAAAATTGCAATTAGATCTATCATCAGCCAGGATTAACACAAACATACAGTTACATATACAAATAAGCCTGCCATACATAAAATTACATTCATGTTTTTAATATGTATTTTCTTCCTCAAAAATAATCCTTTTTGTGCAATATAATTGGCAATCCACATCTTTATTAAGTCCAGATTCTAGCTGCCTTGGAAATGATTGCCAATCCAAAGAGTAGCTAATTCTGCAATTCCTTGTATACTCATAGTAAAGTCTATGGGACTGCCGAATATGAGTTCCATAGATTTATTTTCTAAGTATCCAACAAACCATATACTGTACATAACAGCTGTAATATAATATATGTTTAGCATTTTTACAGAATCACTAGACTGGGTTGTGCAGCCAAGTTAAAAGGGCTAGGATGGGAGCAGAAATGCCATGCCACCCCATACATATAAGATAGTCTAGTTAGAGTATACACAGTTTCAGCTCCTCAGCTCTGCAACACCTTGTTTTGTACTTGGATAATCTGTTCTACATATTGAAATGCAACATTGGTTCTCCTTTGCTTTGTTTTTAAAAATATATTATAATTTAAAAGAAAAACCTCGCAAAACGAAATAGGAGATTGTTAATGCATAAGGACAAGACTTAGTAGTTTTTTTCTGCTTTTCTTGGGATCTGAAAGCTTTAAAGCCCTTTAAAGAGGCCTTTATATTTCAGCTAAAATTTGCATCTCTTATTCCATTTATCATTGGAAAATCTGAAAATTTCAGCTCTGTATTCATTTGGAAATCCCAGAAGTGGTCTGTTGCTTTAATGAATAGCAAACGGAAACATGGGCTACTCTGGAAACTTATACCGAAAACAAATGAGACACACCTACCTGTTGCTAAACTGAGGTTTTAATTACCACTTCCTGTCAGTAAAAATGTTAAACTATTCTCCCCCTGCTATTCTGGGTGTTAACAGCAGTGTTTCAGAGAGGAAGTACAAACCACAATGGTATCAAGCAGTAAATGTCGACACTTCTGTTCTAAGAGATCTTGCAATGAGCTTAGTTTGAAAATGTGACTGAATTGCAATTTATTTTCTGGACCAAGTAATTTGGGGCACTTCTTTGGCATCAGTTCTATTTAGTTGAAGCACAATTCCATGGAAAGCAGATATGAGTTCTTTTTCCTCCCTCAACAGGATCAAGCATAATATTTTCAAAGATGAATCTGAGCTTGATTGTACAATTTTATTTCTCTAAAGCTTTGTCTTTGCAGATGTGCCAGTCAAAGATGTAACTTCATTCACTATTAATAGATGCCTGGAAAGGATATCTTGGCAGCAAATAGACTTGTCATTATAGAATAATGTTAAATTGAGAAAAGCTGCCTTTGTTTGAAATTCTGTTGTATGAATACGCTAACTATCAATAATACAGGATCCCTCTTGGTTTTCTGGTGCATCATTACTTTGAATGATATGTATATATATAATATAGAGCAGGGGTGTCAAACTCACTTCGTCACGTGACACATATGTGACAAATTGGGATTTTTCCCCCCTTCACTAAACTGGGCGTGGGCATGGCCACCGCGTGATGCATCTGGTCCGCAGGCCAGGAGTTTGACAGCCCTGATATAGAGTAACACATAAGTATGATAGTAGTAATCTTAGTATGATTGTTCGATACCTTCCAAGATTTTTCTGCTGCTTCTAATAACATGGCTAGAAGCTCTTGTAAAATCACCATTTTCTGCTTCAATACTAGTTCTCGATGTAGTGCCTCCTAAAAAGAAGAAATCAAAGTCATAACCTGTTCAAATGATATCCCAGGCATGCTCTGAATTCGTTGTTCTAGTACTACGAGGATTCTCTTACTCTACCATCAAACTTTTTTTTCAAAGGAAGCATGGAGAAATTTGACTATAGAAACTTGACTATTTCACAGAGAATACAGGCCTTTTCATCTACTCAGTCTATCTGAGCTGATTCTATAAAGGCCAACTCATATAAGTCTGCTACCAATTTGCATTTGCCAATCATATCTCATATCCTTTTAAACCTTAAATTATATTTTTAAAACTCTAAAATCATATGTCTTGTATCTTTTCAGTCTTTCAATTTCTGCACACTAGTACTGGAAATTAATGCCAATTAATATGTTCTAGTTTCCACTCTTGTTAGTGCAGATTGACATTCCTGTATGAAGATTTACCGGTAATAAATACATCTAACTGGTAACTTCTTCTGATCACAATCCATTGTCCATATTTATTTATGCCACTTTAAAGGTACACTCTGGGCAGCTTTGACTGAATAAAAGCAAGATTAAAATATAGGAAAACTACTAAATAAATACAGGAATTGAGATTAAAAGTGACAGTCAACATAATCAAGATATGGGCGTAACCACACAACCTGGTAAGAAAATCCAGTTTTGTTATCGAAAACCATTATGGGGACAATTCTAATCTTTGGGAGATGATGTTCCAGAGGGCAGGTGCCAAAGAGAAAAGACTCTCTTTGGGGCACCTACCAAATGACACTCTTTAACAAGTGGAATCTGGAGCATGCCTCTACTGATGGATCTCACAGGATGGGTAGATACAACTGAGAGACAGTCCCATAACAGTCCATTCAAGGAAACAGAAAGACCTTTTGTATAGGTACAAAACTGTAGTCTAAAAAGTTAAGTTTATGTCCCTTTGTTCTTAGATAATTACTTAGCTTTAGAACTGGCTTCTCTATTATGTAGTGAAAAAAGAGAGTATTTATTTTTAAATGAATGTAATACAATTTATAAAACTTGTTATCTGATTACTAGCGTCTTTTTAAAAATTGACTGGAAGATTTTAAATTGTTTCCTTTGATCAATGATTCCATCTGGCATTCCTCAGGTATCAAGAGCAAATTGACATCAGTTGGCTTTTGTTTTGTACCACATGTTTAAACCAAAATGGCAGATCATGGAATTGGTGAAATGAGGTAGAGATTATATATATATATATATATATATATATGTTTTTCTTTCTTTTTCGTAGGTTTTATGTGTATGTCTCTTTAGCCAGGTTCTACCTACGTAAACCAAGATATCATGCAGCCCTATTTCACTGAACTAGGGCTGCATAATATCTTGGTTTACGTAGGTAGAACCTGGCTAAAGATATGTATGTATGTATGTATGTATGTATGTATGTATGTATGTATGTATGTAAAATTTTCCTCCTGCAGGAATGAATCCTGCACTTTAAGTACTGTATAGCATTCTAGCATTATTATTTTCAAATAAATACATTGGTTTAAATTACAATCCTATTCTAAGAAAGTAAGGCTTTGAGTGTTAAAAAAATCCAAAAAGTATATAACTTATAAAGGGCTCTTTCCCCCAAATGGTCTGAAATTAATATTGATTACTCACGTTGAGGTAGTTAGAAAGTTGAATAATTTCCTGAAATACAAATAAATGTATTTATAATCCCAATTGACTTGGCAAAGGAATGCAACCTGCACTATTTGTCAGCCTTTGAATCACAAAATTCACAAAACCTCTAGTATACTTGAAGATAGGCAGTTTTTACTTCTATTAATAATAATAATTCATTATTTAGCTACTGTCAAAACATGTTTATAGTCAGAAAACAATGGAAACACTGTTACATACAGAGTTGTACAGAAATAACATTGCTCCTATACCCCACTTCTTTTAAAATCACCAAATACAGCAACTCCAGGATCAAAATCTGATTATTGAAAATCTGGTGAAACTTTACTAAGGGTCATATTCAGACAAGGAGCCATGATTTTCTTATCTAAAACATCACAACTATAACAACTTGCCTGAATAAGGCCATTATGTGCAGGAAGGCTAGGTGTGCATTCAAAAATGAGAAAAATACCAAATACTAAATACCATTTGCCCCACATTTGCATTTCTTTATTTCGTAAAGAAAGAGGAATCTCATTACTTCCTGTTTTCCTTAAAAGTAGTCCCTCTGGATTTTACTCCACTAGTTATTGTCAACTATAGGGGTGGTGCTCATCTCCATTTCAAGCTGTTGAGCCACCCCTTTCTGAAGACATTTCCGTGATCATGTGACCAGCATGATGACACGGAGCACTGTTACCTCCCCATTGAAATGTTACGTATTTACTCATTTTCACGTTTTTCATACCTTATCTAAAACTGCTGTTCCACAACTAAAAACAAAAGAGAAAATAATTATCAAGGAGACAGTTGCAGTGTGATACAACTGTCAAGAGGAAGAAGGTAAAACATTATCCATATAGAACTGCCCATATAAAAATTTAAGACCTGAACAAAAACGCCTGAAAAAATCACCAAATCAAACGTTTTTTAGAAAATTCTAGAATAATCAAGGAGTGCTAGGTAGTCCAATAGAGTTTTCCACTTGCCTTCATGAGTCTTTTTCTGCCCACTGAAATGTCACTATGATGTGGTACCCAAGAACTTTTCTACTATCCATTCATTCATTCATTACTGCACATGCGAAGATTTGCAATAAATCTTTGCATTTGTGCAAGCACTAATTTTGCACTATGAAATGGGGTCTCTGTACTCTTGGTTACCACTTGCTTTTAATGAAGAGGAACTTGTGCATTTTTTTTCCCGACACTGGTTGCTGCATGGCCAAAATAACTGAGGCAGCTCGTAAACACAGTGGTGGAAAAACTTCAATAATAACTTCATAGTAACTTCACTGGTGATGCATAACTGACCATTGAAAGCCTGGGAAACAAAACAATTGAAGGCTGCAACAAGGGTCTGGAAGGTTTCTTGTAATCATAGATCAGGCTCTGAATTGTTCAAAGACATGATGACATTTTTATATGTTCAAAAATGCTTTCCCAGAGATAGATCTGCTGCCTATGCACAGAACACTCTATGTCAGTGGGACTTGTTATTATCACTGTATCAGGGGTGGGTTCTACCTACTTTTACTACTGGTTCGCAATGGGAGTGCGCACACGCACTTCTGCAAGTGAGCAGGTTACCCGTGATGATACCATGGCGGGTGGGTGGAGCCTCCCACCGTTTTACTACCGGTTCTATAGAACCGGACCGAACCGGGAGCAACCCACCACTGCACTGTATGTTATACAGCTTCAAGAGGACTTTATATGTGGTTTATGAAGTTATGGAATGCTATTGCTTAATGTTTTGCAAACAAGAATGTTCTGGATTTTTGATAATTTTGTATGAGTAACCAAGGAAAAAATCTAAAAATATGACTTAAAGTTTGATTATTTTATGATTGAAAAATTCTGACCATCTTTTTTAAAAAATACCCCGTATTCAATATAAAATGCCTAGTATCCAATTTTAAAGATACTAGTTCCAAAGGAGAAAAAAGCTTGAATAATCTCTTTACTTACTCTGTTTGCTGACAGGAGTTTTTCTTTTCAGAACTCAGTTCTTTTGTGGTTTGTGTACCTATATAAATAAATATCAAATGGAAAATATAAATTCCATTTCAGTTGACAGTGAATTGACTGTTAAATTGACTGTTAAATTAACAATTGATAGTGAAACACCACCTTATTTATCTTTAAGAGATGCATTCATAAGGCAACACACGTTTCTAAAATTATGAACAAAAATATTCACGATTTTTAAAAAATTAAAAATCTGAAAAAAACCCAAAATAATCAAAATTAGTCATGGACATCAAAAAAAAAGTCTGATGCTGATTTATATATACTTTTGTTGACAACTTTAAAGTTGATTTTATAGATTGTCACTTACCTTTACAGTTTTTGGGAACATTCACAACGAGCAAGGCTTGGGGTGGTTTGCTAAGAGGCAAAATATTACTGAAGTTATGTTGTATAGATTTGGTATGAGGCTGAAAGATAAAAACAGAACAATATTTTGTCTTTTCCATGTGTTGACTTCATTCCTGAGAAAATAAGACAGTACCCCAATATCCAACCCTCTCCATATTTGTTGGGATTATTAAACTATCTCTTTGGAACAGGAGCTCTAAATTGTTCCAATACATTTTTTCTTACTCTTAGTGAGGAGCATTGTTTAGTTACTTGGTTGCTAAATTGTAAATTATTTTGCAATCGGTAAAGAAAGAAGAAAAATGGTTTTTGAAGCTTTTCTGCTACCTGACATTAATATTTTAGAAAAACTCTTCAACCACTTCCTAAACAGTAAAATAAAATTTCTAAAAATCTCATGAGATCAAGAAATCTTGTGAGATTTTGGCAACTTGAAGCAAGATTTTGTAAATTGCAAAATATATGACAACAAACAGTAGGAACACACACACACACACACAAATTAAAAACAGTGGTGGGTTGCCCCTGGTTTAGACCGGTTCACAAGAACCGGTAGTAAAACCTGTGGGAAGCTCTGCCCGCTGACTTGGATGTCATCATAGATGATCTGCGCATGCGCAGAAGCTTCTGCACATGCACGCACACGATGCGAACCAGTAGTAGAGGTAAGTAGAGCCCACCCCTGATTAAAACTACGTTATTCATGACTGATCTAACACAGATCAACAGAAGATGTGAAAATCTAAATTCAACAGATAGATTTCCCAACTAATCATTTTGCGATGGTCTAATAGTTGCTTTATCCCTATCATTAAATATTACCTGGATATCTGACAAATAGTTTAAATAGGTCTGAGATGGTATTCTCTGTAGATTGTCAGAACAGTTTACAGGAAATAAAGATTCTCTCTTGTCAGGAAGCAGAGTCATTTTTGTCCTTCCAAGCTCTTCAGTTGTTAAATTCCTTCTTCGGAAGAATTCTTTTTGTCGAGGGCTCTGAGCTGGTTCCTTGGCTTCTTTGCTTTGGCATTTGCTTGTGAGACGACATGTGGTCCTGTTATTTCTTCTGAGCAGGCTTTCGTGCTTCTCGCACCGGCGCTCATATTTTTCTTCATAACTCTCATTCTGGGGGCCTTGCTGGCCAGGAGATTTGGAAAATCCAGTGATCATCCTAGCAACAACACTTTCCAAATATAGTGGAGACTCAACTTCCTAGAAAAATCAAGAGAAAACAGTCATGACCATGGAGTTTTTTTGTACAAAACTATGCAAATTATTTTCCATATTTCTTTGAGATATGTGCCACTATTGTGAGATATCACAATACCAGTGCCAATTTAAAGTCCTGAGCCTCAACAGTTGAGGAGCCAAATATTTGAAAACACTTCCCTCTCTCTAAAAAAACTGTTCACATACTAAAATGTTCAGGGAACATTTTTTTCAGGCTTCCTTTTCCAGGGGAAACTTGTTGAGGACAATCCAGGCATAAGGCGTTTACTCTTATGAAGGTCCATCTCTAGAATGTTCGTGTAATTTGGATTAGCATCAATTCTGCTACTATGTTGGCATAAGATTAAAATTAAAATGCCCAAGCGTTTCAAAACACAGATTTATTTTAAGCGTACTCTATACTCTGCTTTTTATAATATGGATCTGTTTATATTATTATATCACATTTATATCATAGTTTGATATCTGCATTTTTGCTTATTTATCTACTACTCTGATATTTTATAATATAAGGTAGCTTGAAAAACTTACAATAAATAGATAATATAACATAGCCAACTTCAGAGGTACTGCTATAACATTATGTAATGAACTCCTAAAAGACAAAGTATTCCAAACAGCAGCTGTACAGAAGCTTTACTCCATTAATTAGCAGGGCCAGTTTAGAAACTACAAATTTTACCATTCTCCTATTCAGATTTTTGCTATAGTGGATATTGGATATTTCCGATCACCATCAACTTAACCCTCGATTTCTTTTCTTTTCTGGCAGATGTTTAGCCATGCTTGTTAAATTATTTCTGCATTTAAAATTTACATCTAAAAAAAGAGCAAAGCATGTAATTCCATCAACTTCTGAATAATCTTGTTTTCTTTAAATCCTTTTCACTTTTTGCCTACCCTTTAGTGCTACAGTCAGCAGCCACTACATACTTATGCCTGAGATCAGAAAATGAACAAATAAGTGATTTTTGTTATCTCTTCAAAAATTTAGTAGTAATTTCTGATGACAAAATTTTCAGAAACAAATGCTACAATGAATAGCTAAAACACAGTTTTCAACTGACCATCACTTCACACTATAGATTTACTTTTTGTATCCTCCACTTTTTAAAGTCTACTTGATTAAACATGGTAGAATCATACCATATATAAGCATACCTATATACAGTATACTTATGCTTTGAAGAAAGCATAAATATCTGAACTCTAAAAGCTGTTACTAATGCTATAAAATCTGAACTCTAAAAACTGTCACTAATCTAAAGGCACATTTATTTATTTTTCCTTACTATTTTTCTCTATGTTTACAGTACAGTCAAGTGTCATGGGTAGATTGCAACACAATTAATTCAAAAGGAAAAGTGCCTTTGTTGTGGCATTACCTCACTGGGCTGTGTGTTTAAATGAAAAGTTTCTTTTTAAGTTCCTCTTTTTTCATTAAAATTCAACACCATTTGAAAAACATCCTCTCAGCCATACTATTTATATTCACCTCCAACTATTTACCTATAAGTTCTTCCTTGCCTTGGACTAAGCAGGCAGTCTTTGTGGAAATTCTAAGAATGGCGATTGGAAAAACATAATGTGAACAGCCTGTACATTCAGAAAATGTTAATGGGCCTTCCTTTGTATTTTAATGAATAACAGCATTTAACGTAGAATAGGAATTGATTGAAGTAAGCATTAGTAAATACCTGTCCCCCCAAAATAAGACATCCCCTGATAATAAGCCCAATCAAGCTTTTGAGCACATGGCAATAAGGCCAAGCGCTTATTTCAGGGTTTATTTATTTTCGGGGAAACACGGTATATTTATTTACCATATTTGCCATAACCTTATTTATGACATAGGGTTTTCTGCTTGAACAGAGGGTTGGACTAGAAGACCTCCAAGGTCCTTTCCAACTCTGTTTTTCTGTTATAAGCTAATGGCAACTGTGTGTAGCTGTGTCTAACTACATGGCACCTTGGATTGGTCCAAATGTGGGAACCAATATTAATTGGGATAATTCACTAGGAATATCTTACCGGTTTCATGGGATCTACACTGACTGTACTTTACTTCCAAATCCAATCTGAGAGGTCAGTTTTGATTAGTATCTTTTACAACTTGGAATTCAGACAGCATAAAAACTACCTGCTCATAAATGAACACTCTCAAATGTTATGAGACCCATTTAAGAATCTTAAAGCAATGGCAACCAAGGAAGATACACATGAATAGTAATTGAAATATCAACAATTTAAACATCTAATTAATTTATAAAAAACCATCAAGACTCTTAGCACCTATATAGATGGATTTTCTCCATGACAAACTGTCCCTAGCATGGTCTTATGGATCTTCCAATGGTGCTCTCATCACCACTCCAATTGAGTCTATCACCTTGCTTCTAGTCAGCTTTGCTATCCTTTCACCTTTTCCAGACTTAGAGCCTTCTCTAGAAAGCTAGGTCTTTACATAGTATGTCCAAAGAGCATGTCATTAAGATGCTTACATTTTAAAAATCATTGTTTTTTAAATGCATCTTTGGAAATACTTATTTTTTCACTCTCACTTCATCATTTGAATGATTTTTCATGTTGATGAAAAATAGATTATAGACAGATGATAGATAGATACATAAGTAGGTAGGTAGGTAGGTAGGTAGGTAGAAAGAGAGAGAGAGAGAGAGAGAGAGAGAGAGAGAGAGAGAGAGAGAGAGAGAGAGAGAGAGAGAGAGAGATGTTGTTTTGGATTTTAAACAATATTGTTTAAAATTGGATTTGAAATGGTATTGAAAACCAGTTTTTGGACAATATTTTGAAAGAGAAGCCCATTAATGCTATAAACAAACATATACAAGGCAGAACTCTTATGACACATAAAGGCAGCAGTGAAATTAAGAGTAAATGCATGGCATTTTTTTCTGCACACCAAAATTTATACAACAAAGGAACAGAGTGATCTTATCTGGTACAAGCTAAACACATATTTAGCTACAACTCTCATCATCTGCATAATAGAGACAACCCAAGGAACAATGGCACAAAGGAAGAAAATGGAAGGGAAGAAGATGAAATGTAACAACAAATGTACTTATGTGTCATATCAAGATCAAAAAGAAGGAATAGTCAGAAAAATGAGTAAAGAACTATTAGTATTTGATTCAGAGCCATCTACAGAATTCAAATATTAGATCCAGTGGGTTCTATATGATATGGACAAGTTTTGCCTTCCAGAAAACATTTTTTTTTAAAAAATGAAGGTTCACATCTAAGATTTGATAGCACGCAAGATGATTTCTTTGTCTTGAAGAGACTTTGTCTGTTGAGAATTAAGCAAATCACTACAAAGATGGATATGGAGGACGATGGTTGATGATTGAAACATTTATATTATCTAATCATAATTCAATACAGATGCAAAAATACATAATATATACTTGAAAGCAAAAGATTAAATTTTCCATGTGGGCACTAAACATGTTTTCTTCCTCACACTGCTTTTAAAAATTGAACAATGTTTCAAAACCAGGTGGTGATTTACAGAAGAAAATCCTCTCATCACTGAAAAGTAAAATATTCCATGGAACCAGTGAAATAACTGTTGAGTGAACTTCATTTGCTATTTGGCTTTTAAATTAAGTTTTTTTCCCTAAAGCACCATGCAGTCAGAAGTTTAATGGGGCTGATTTGGTTCACTTCTCTTTTACTTTCGACCGATTCTGACTCCCTAACCCCTGAGCCGGCTATTTGTTAAGAAGAAATAAGACACAGGATGTAGAACTATCGTAAGTAATATGAATTACATTGCATGCAGTTTGACTTTCATATTGAATAGATTAAACATTACAGAAGGCCACAGGCATTTTAAAAGATTCTAAATATAGGTTTTAGCAGGATTCATTCTGTTAATTTCAGATTTCACTTTATGGCAAACCTTCCCTCCTCTCCCTCTTCTTCCTTCCCCTTTTGGATTCATTCATTTGCACAAGGCTCTAGTGTAAGTGTTTGGTATTATAAAATCTGAATTCAGAAAAATATAATCTGATTTGCTCCATTTGCAGTATATGCAGTATACTGCAATATATGCAGTATATTAGTATTTTTGCATACTACTGCAAAAATATGCACAACTCGTACCTGTTAAAAGGCTTAAAAAGTAGAGGATGGTGATGGAACACATTGCATGGCTATTTCAAGCACAGCCTATGTCCAGCTAGACTTTGTCGAGGCCTTAACATTCTTGGTTGACAATTTCTGCCTTGATTTCAGACCAAGTGGCTTGAGATCTGGGCTGCTTCCTAGGCTCTTGCACAAAGTTCATTTCCGTAGATCAATAGCTACAACTCTCTTTGCTGTAATATTTCCAGTTATGTTCTCCCTTTCCCTGCCCCTATTGCTTGATGTTTCTCAATGTGAAGAAGAATCAATGTTGTGACACCATTTTACACTCTGAAATGGTACAATCCATTCTACAAACGCGGGACTCTGTTTCCATCTTCTTCAGTACTGTATCTATAGAGCAGAGTTGAAAATTCCACTTTGAGTAAGAAACAAGAACTTCCTGTCAATCCCGCAGAGCAGGAAAACCACTTACTCCTCTGCTCTCCTTCATTTCGCATCACAGCAGCCACCAAACCGAACAAATCTATTTACAATATTGTACATCTGCATCCGGCCTACAGGCTAGAGGCCTTTCACCTCTAACTTTAGAGTAAGCTGTTCTGTTTTTTTTGTGATTAGTGCATATTTTTAATTGAAATACTTTTAAAGATATAAGAAGCTCTGAGATATATGTGCCAAAGGATTTATCAGTTGCGAACACATATCCCCTGCAAAAACTGTAAGACTAAATATAGTCTTTTGTTGTCTTTCCTCACACCAAGTCCCTGATTCTGGCAATTTTATTGTTTTGTTTAGATTATTTTATCTTCTTCCACTTGAATTCCTCCCATATTTTTCATCACTCTTCCTGTCTTATTAGTTTCCATCAATGTATGTATGTGTCTGTCTGTCTGTCTATCAATCTATCTGTCTGTCTATCTGTCTATCTATCTATCTATCGATCGATCGATCGATCGATCGATCTCTATCATCTAATCTCAGTGAAGGGGGAAATAGTTCAATTCTTCTGTCTTGACCTGTAGGACTCTTGCCTCTTATTATATATCCCATGACATGCATAGAATGTATCGAGGCTGAAACCATGAAATGACCAATATAAATTCTACTGTTTCCCTCTTGCACCATTCCCTATATTTTGAGTTTGCCATTGCAATGCCATATTAACAGTATATGCAGTTGGATATGGATATCTAAAAAAGAAACATAATATCAGTTCCCATCTCTGCAAAAAAGACCACGTTGAATGTGATTCCAAAAGAATAGAGGATAGGCATGTGAGCAATAAAAAATTCGACCAAACATTGCTGTCAAAGAAACATGTTTCTGTTTTGTGCTAAAACTGCCAGAAAAAGTAAATATTTAGCAACACCCAAACACAGAAGCATATGTTTTCCCCTCATTCCCCTTTGATTAGGATTTGTTGTCTTTCACAATTATCTTTAGTTTGGTTTATGTTATAAGCTGTAGAAAATTTTAGTTACAATTCTTTATTTCACTCATAACCAATATACTGTACCTAACCCATTGTTATATTAAACAATATTAAACAGGAAGTAGCAACTTGTGGCCCCAGGGTGCATTATTTTTCTTTTATTATAATATTTTTGAAAAATATTTTAAATTGATTTCTAGATAGTACCTAAAAACTTTTTTTTATTTTTAAACTACCTCCCATTTATTGTGGCAGCATACTTTTTCATCTGGGCTAAACTTCCTGATGTTTGGATAAAAGTTAAATAAGCTACTCATATTCAGCTAAAATGTAATTGCTTTGTACTATTATAGTTGTTTGTGATGTGTCATTTTATTCCTGTAGGAATTCATTTCCTATTTCCTATTACTAAGGAAGCAATTAGAGGCAGAAATTAGTTAAGATTTCATTTCTTAGTTTTAATATTATATTATATTTTATTTATTAATCTTCCCCATCCCAACCATCTTTAATCATTCTGTGTTTTGTATAAGTGGGATACGCTAATATATCCACCCAAGAAGCTCTTGTTAGAACATGATACTAAATCTGAAGAAATCTGATAGCACTTTTTAGTGACTAAGAAATTTAAATGCAAGAAAATTAAAGGAAAAATTATAGCTTTTAATAAAATTGGTTAGTTGGAAAAGATGTCACTAGACTTGATATTTTGCCACGATAAATTGCTCTATCTCTTTTCCGAACATGCTACTGAATGAGCTACCAAAAATATAGACAATCACACTGGGAATTAGAAATCTGAAATATAGCAGGAAATACTTTTATTAGACCATTCAAAATATGACAAAGCGATATATATTCTGATCAGATGGGTTCTATATTTTGACCCAGTCTGTAGGTAGAAATTGAAGATTAAATTAATCACAATAGCTATTGCAGATAGCATTCTAGGACTTAAATAGCAATGGAATTGTCCTAGATGGAAAGTATCATGGAATGCTTCTTTCATCAGGCCTTGTACCCTAGGGATTTTATTTTTTTAAAAAAAGAAAGATCGCCATCACTGTTCTATTTTTTTTTTTTTTCATTTTGCTGGTTTGAAAATGCAGTTTTGTATTAAATTTTAGGTTAAAATGGAAAAGTGTCTAGAGTTTACCTATGGCATTTGTAATAATAAAAAAATTGATTTTTTTATACAAAATTGATCTGCAGAGTCTATAGTTGAGGCAAATTTAAAGATGAGTTTTTAAGTATTTTATGTGTATATCTGACATTTGAATGATTTGGTACCCCCAGAAGTGAATTAACTGGCACTATTCTCAGAGCACCCAATAACAGCTTACCTTGTTCAGATGCCATGCTTTCAATGTCTTTAAAGTGCAGTTAATTGAAAAGCCCTTCCTTTAAGTAATTCTGAACAACGAAGAGGAGCTATATTACTCCAGTTACAATACTTAACTCACTGACCTGGGCAAACTTCTGAGGTTTAATTATCAGATTATGGGGTTCCTTCCTTTCTAGACCAATAAGTTTTTCTCTAATGAGCACAAATGTCCTTTATCTTTTTTGCACAGGCATTGTTGCAAGGGAATGCCAGAATGCTGATCTGTTTTAGAACGAATGTGCTTGCTCTCTCTTCACTTAGAAATTAAAACCGAGGTCATTACTAAGAAGTCCTTACCTTTGCTTCTCAGTGGCAGGCCTGATTGAAGTTCATCAAGATCCAAAGCATTACCTTAGTTATCCCCTGTTAACTTACTGTAAGCGACAAGAATTCACCATTCCGTTTTCAAAGAACTGGAAATACTCTGAGCTCAGGACTGGTATTGCACCCATTTGCGCTCTCTCTCTCTCTCCTCTCTCTCTCTCTCTGAAACAATAAGGAACTCTAGCTTTCTATAAGCAGTTTTGTAGTAATTTGACTTTTTTTTTTTTTTTTTTTTTAGCAAACAGACCTATATTTCTTTCAACATTGGGTATGACATCCACATCTGAGCTGCCAAAATCTAGACAACCCAGTGATGATAATTCTTCACTGCCATCTCCTGGCTATCCACATTTTTGCAGCCCACATCTCAGTGGTGAAATCTGAACCGGTTTGCCACCGGTTCGCTGCCAAACACGTGTTGCGTATGGGCACATGCATGCTGCACGCCAAATGCACGCTGAGCGCACATGCACAGTGCACATCTAACATGTGTAGTGCTTGCGTATGTGCAGTACGTGCCTAAAGGAGGCTTGGGAAGGTAAGTAGAGCAGTGAGGGGGGAATCAGCTGTGTCACGTGATTTAGATTCACTATAAAGTAGGATTTCCTACTTTCTAGCGACTTTAAATTGCGCGGCACAGCTGAGCGTTGGAAATACTGGTTCGGAGGAACCAGTAGCCTGAACCGGTGCGAACCGGTAGCATTTCACCATTGCCACATCTCCACTACAGCAACAACTCTTTGCTGCAGTTATCAGCTTGGCACCTTGAGCTTGGCCCTTGCTTGGAAGGAGCTGTGGCTAGCACCATGAAATCACAGTAGTCTAAAATCGTTGTGAGTGAGAACAACTTAAATTGACAAAGTATATTCTGTCTAATGGAATATGAGTGGACTTTTTTCTTTTGTCAGGATTATATAACTCATATTTCTTTTCCTTTTAAAAAAACCCCAGCTTCCTTTATTCTGTGTTATTTCTTACAGGAAATGGAAGTGGAAAAATATGTGGATATTTATCCCTGGAAATTACCTTGACAAAACTCATTATAATCCAGTATCTGAAAAATGGTCCCACGTGGTATGTTATGTCTTTTGCGTGAATGCAGAGTATTTTCTTTCAACCTCAAATTACCTTGCTAGTAACAGCAACATTAATGCTTGGTGCAGCTTATTAAAATATTCTTTTTTAAATAAGTAAATGCATATGCTCAAAAACACAATTTATTTGTTTGCAATATAAGCTGATGGACCAGACAAAGGCTTATCTAGTTCAAAATTATTTTCCTACATTTCCCATCCAGATACCTATTACAAACTCAAAAGATTGATATCAAAAGATTGATATTAATCCAATATTCCCCAGCAAACAGTACTGCATAGAATCATGTTGTTTATAGTTTTGGAATAAATATACCACCAAATTATCCACCATTAATTTTGTTTACTTATTCTGCCTTTTCTCGGATTTCCAGATAACATTCATAACTCTCTCTCCTCCAGATGTTATTCGTACCAAGGCAATTCTGTGATCCAGATAAAGCTAAAAAATTGTGACTTTTCCGGTATCACCCAATGAATTTCATTCTTGCAGTAGAACTATATCACTTCTATTGGGTCAAGGGCTACATCAATTATGATGTAATTGAGGGGAGGGGTGGGGGAGTAGCGGCAATTATTAGAGAAAGTCTTTGTCCGAGGGAGGCCACTGTTTCTCAGATAGCCGGATGTGAGTCCCTTTTTGTGAAGTGGGGTCATGGGGTGCAGATGGGTTTGCTGACTCTGTACCTGGCTCCCTGCCACGTGGCGGCAACCCTGCTTGAGCTACTCAACGTGATTGCCGGGTGGTGGTTGATACCCCCAGACTTATTGTTATGGGGGATTTCAACCTACCATCCACAGGTGAGACATCAGAGGTGGCTCGGGAGTTCATGGCTTCCATGACAGCCATGGACCTGACCCAGTTAGTGCAAGATCCCACTCACACAGAGAGACACACTCTGGACTTGATTTTTATCTCTGGTCAGTGGCAGAATGATCTTGGTAGAGGGGACCTAGACATTAAGCCCTTGTCATGGACAGATCATTCGCTCCTATGCTTAGACTTTCAAGCCGCTTCCCCCCACCGCAGGGAGACGAAACCGACTAGATGGTTCCGTCCCAGGCACCTGATGGATCCTGAAAGGTTCCAGATGGAGCTTGGGCCGTTTCCTGAGACTCTGGCACACGACTCGACTGAAGAGCTGGTGGCCGCTTGGAATAGTGCGGCCACAGGGGCTTTGGACCGCATCGTGCCTTTGCGGCCTCTGACCTGATGCCAATCTCAATTGGCTCCTTGGTTTTCCGAGGAGCTGAGAGAGATGAAGCGTCGGAAAAGACGCCTAGAGAGTGTTTGGAGGACTAGTCAATCTGAATCTGACCGGACACAGGTGAGGTCTTATATCAAGACCTACCTAGTGGCGATAAAACTGGCAAAATCTAACTATTTTTCCGCTCTGATCGCATCTGCAGAGAACCGCCCAGCCACTCTGTTTAGGGTGACCCACTCCCTCCTTTGGGTGGAAGTGCGGGAAGATCCCTTGCAGGGTTGAGTTGAGGATTTTGTGCAATTCCTGCATGATAAAGTCGCTCAGATTCAGGAAGGCTTGGACTCCGACTGGGTGAGTCTGGGAAGGGAGACGGGGGTGAGTCTTGAGAATATTATCTGGGAAGAGTTTGACCCTGTGGCTCCCGAGGACATGGACAGGATTCTGGGTGGGCTTAGTGCTGCCACATGTTTATTGGACCAGTATCCCTCCTGGTTGGTACTGGCCTCCCGAGAGGTTACACGAGGATGGCTCCAGGGGATTATAAATGCTTCTCTGAGTGAGGGGACCTTTCCTGCTGCCTTGAAGGAGGCGGTGGTAAGGCCCCTCCTCAAGAAGCCATCCCTGGACCCAGCTGTATTAGCAAATTACCGTCCGGTCTCCAACCTTCGTTTTGTGGCGAAAGTTGTTGAGAGTGTGGTGGCATGACAGCTACCCCGGTACCTGGAGGAAGCTGTCTATCTGGACCCATACCAGTCAGGCTTCAGGCGGGGGTACAGCACAGAAATGGCATTGGTCGCGTTGGTTGATGATCTCTGGAGGGCTCGGGACAGAGGTTGTTCCTCTGTCCTGGTCCTATTAGATCTCTCAGCGGCTTTTGATACCATCGACCATGGTATCATGCTGCAGCGGTTGAGGGGGTTAGGAATTGGGGGCACCGTGTTACAGTGGTTCTCCTCCTACCTCTCCGACCATTCGAAGTTTGTGTTGGCAGGGGGGCAGAGGTTGACCTCGAGGCGCCTCGCTTGGGGGGTGCCACAAGGGTCGGTCCTCTTGCCCCTTCTGTTCAACATTTATGTGAAGCCGCTGGATGAGATCATCCATGGTTTTGGGGTGAGAGTCCATCAGTACACTGATGACACCCAGCTGTACATCTCCACCCCAAACCACCCCTTGATGTGATGTCCTGCTGCCTGGAGGCTGTGCGGGTCTGGATGCGGAGAAATAGGTTCAAGCTCAACTCTTCCAAGACTGAGTGGCTGTGGCTTCCGGCGTCCCAGTATAGTCAGCTGGTGCCATAGCTGACTATTGGGGGTGAATCTTTGCCCCCCACAGAGACGGCTCGCAATCTGGGTGTCCTCCTGGACTCACGGCTGCCTTTAGAAGAGCATATGATGGCCGTAGCCAGGGGGGCTTTTTATCAGGTTCACCTGATCCGCCAGTTGCGTCCCTTTCTGGACTGGGAAGCCTTGTGCACGGTCACTCACGCCCTTGTCACCTCCCATCTGGACTATTGTAATGCTCTTTACATGGGGCTCCCCTTGAAGAGCATTCGGAGGCTCCAACTGGTCCAGAATGCGGCCGCGCGGGTGGTTATGGGTGCACCTCGTTACGCCCATGTAACACCTCTCCTGCGCGAGCTGCACTGGCTCCCAGTGGTCTTCTGGGTGCAATTCAAGGTGTTGGTCACCCCCTTAAAGCGCTCCAAGGCATAGGATCAGGATATTTACGGGACCGCCTTCTGCCACCAATAGCCTCCCACCGACCAGTCCGCTCCCACAAAGAGGGACTTCTCAGGGTGCCGTCGGCCAAGTTATGTCGGCTGGCGATACCCAGGAGGAGAGCCTTCTCTGTTGGAGCTCCTGTCATTTGGAATGAATTGCCCCCAGATATTCGTAACATCTCTGACCTCCGGGTCTTTCGCTGTGCCCTCAAGACCCTACTGTTCCGACAGGCGGGACTGTCTAACTGAATGATTTTAAATTGGGTTTTAATATTGGGTTTTTAAAATTTGGCCAAAACTATTTAATGATTTTAATTAATTTTAACTATGATATTGTATATTTATGTTTTTAATTTTGGCTGTATACCGCCCCGAGTCCTTCGGGAGAAGGGCGGTATATAAATAAAATTATTATTATTATTATTATTATTATTATTATTATTATTATTATTATATAACTCAAACATATGGCAAACATATTTAATACTCCCACCTATCTTTCTCACAGCAACAACACAGTCAATTTTCATGCCTAAGGTGGGAATCGAACTCACCATTTATTTTTTTTAATAATCATAATAGACTTAGTACATTGAAAAGTCTGGGATCAATAACTTGATGGCCTGTTGGCCTTTTCTCCTTGATAATAGCTAGAAACAAAACAAATTTAAAAAATAAAAATGTGAGGAAATCAGAATGAAAGCAAATATAATGGGCAGCTCAAATAACTAAATACAAATGGAAGGAAGTTGTGTGATGGTGAACCATATGATATGATATTTTTTTCTTATTTACAATTAGGACCCCTTGAGTAATGAATTTGAGTATTTATTTCTTAATTCCATCTTTTGTTCAGAACACAATTAAGTTTCAAAAGTTACATTATACTTCAAGATCAACTCACTGATATTTATTTATTTATTTATTTGTCAAACATGTACAAGATTAAAGGTATAAGTATAAACGTGGACATGAACATAGGAAATGAGTACAAATAAATGGGGACAGTAGGACAGGGATGGTAGGCACTCTGGTGCGCTTATGCACGCCCCCTTTATGGACCTCTTAGGAATGGGGTGACGTCCATGATAGACAGTTTAAGATTGAAGCTGTGGGGATTTGAGGATGTAACAACGGAGTCAAGTAGAGCATTCCAGCGTTGAGCACTCTGTTGCTGAAGTCGTAATTTCTGCAATCAAGTTTGGAGCGGTTTACCTTGAGTTTGTATTTATTGTTTGCCCAAGTATTATTGAGGTTGAAGCTAAAGCAGTCGTTGACAGGTAGGATGTTGTAGCAGAGAATTTTGTGTACCATGCTTAGGTGAG